ATATCAAGAAAACTCTTCCACCTATTAAAAGTATCTCACAGGTCTCTTCTCTGAAGAAGAGTACTTCTGGTAGGGATGCTTCAAAGCTTTCAACGTCAGTTCATTCAGAGAGAGATGTTACAGTTAGCTCAAGTAATATTGTCAAGGATCTTCCCACGAGAAATGCTGAACCAAGCAAGGCTGCAGGTATGAGTAGGGAAGCGGAAAAAAGACAGAATATGGAAAATCCTGTTTCATTTGAAAACAGACCCAACTTAAAGAAGGCTACTGATGAACTCGTCCCTCGTGCAACTTTAAAAGAGCCTCAGAAATCTGCGATTTCCAAGGCGAAAGACATGGATTTGAGAAAAGTAGTGAATGAGACAGAGGCTGATCCTTTGGACTTGGCTCTTAAACCTCGGAAACCACAGTTATTACCCCTGGCAAAACCAGGGCCTATTGTTCCCAAAAGACAAGTCATTCAACTTTGTGCACCTGTCAATAAGACATCCGATCGTTGGCAAAGGCAAGAAGCCGGACTCAAACGATTTAGACCACCAAAGCTTGAAGATTGGTTTAGAAAGATTTTGCAAATGGACTACTATGCGATTGTGGGATTGGCGTCAACAAATAAAGATGAGAATCAGATTGTTGGAAAGTTTAGGGAAGTTCCTGTTCGCTTTGGTTCACCTGAGCAATATATTCAGATTTTTCAGCCTTTGGTTCTGGAGGAGTTTAAAGCACAGTTGCAAAGTTGCTTCCAGGAGATATCATCACTGGGGGAGATATATTATGGTGTTTTGTCTGTTTTATCGATTGAAAGGGTTGACGATTTTCACTTTGTTCGTTTTATGCAAGATGAAAATGATGGATCCAACTCGAAAAGTTTTTCTGAGAATGACTTGGTTTTGTTCACAAAAGAGCATCCAGAAAACAGCAATATGGGTGTTAATATGATGGGAAAGGTATGTGGTATTTTGTTTAACTTGCACCCTCTTGGTAAAGTAGAATCAGGAATGTATATGCTTGAAAACCACAAATATACTATAGTTACTTGATCAGATATATTCAGGGTGCTGGTTTGGAGCTTCAACGGAATTTGATTTACTTATTTTAATATAAGATAAAGAGTTATTCCTGATGTTCTGATACTCTACATAGTTGTTGGATATATACTTTGAAAGATCAGGATAGAGATTACTTACCTTGCTGTTTCTTAGGTGGAAGGACGGGAATGGGATGACAAAAAACGGTCCAGCATTTTGAATATACGCTTGTATCTTCAGAATGCGTCGTCACGTCTGAATCAAGCTAGAAGGAATCTCTTGGAACGTAGCCAGTGGCATGCAAGTCGCATTCTCAACATTACATCCCAAGTTCGAGAATTTCAAGCTCTGTCGTTCATAAAGGATATTCCTGTACTTCCTCTGATCTTAAATCCTATGAGTGATGCTAATTATGATTCTGAAGTTAAAAAGTCAGATCTGCGTTCACTACCACATTCTCTACAGCAAATACTTAAATCATCTTTCAATGAGAGTCAACTTCAGGCTATTAGTGTTGCTATTGGCTCATCCAATTTGATGAAAGCGTTTGACATTTCACTTATTCAGGGTCCTCCAGGTTAGTCATTTTATTTCTCTGTCACTAAAGCTAATAATGTCATAAGATGCTCTGGGAGAAAATTTAGCATTTTGCACTAATTGATTGTTGATGTTGGACTTTGATGAATGTAAAGAAATTTCGTTTGCTCCTGTAGGGACTGGCAAGACTCGCACTATTGTTGCCATTATTAGTGGCTTGCTTGCATCCGTTTCACATAAAGCAAGTGGTAGGGGGAATTCTGAACAAGATCATAGTTCATCAACTTCTAGGCAGAGAATGAATCCGAATGTTGCTCTTGCAAGGGCATGGCAAGATGCAGCTATGGCTAAACAGCTAAATGATGACGGGGAAACAAAGAAAAAGATAGGAGAAAAGATTGGTAGAGGAAGGGTGCTGATCTGTGCTCAGTCAAATGCTGCAGTTGATGAATTAGTTTCAAGGATATCCAGTCTAGGCATATATGGCGGGGATGGGAAGATGTTCAAACCTTATCTTGTGAGGGTTGGAAATGCAAAAACTGTTCATCCAAATTCAATGCCCTTCTTTCTTGACACCCTTGTTGATCAGCGTTTGGCAGAGGAGAGAATGCGGATAAACGAATCTAAGAGTAGTAAGGGTGCAGATTCTTCTGCAATACTGCGCTCTAATCTAGAAAAGATTGTCGATCAGATCACACATTTTGAAGCTAAGCGTGCAAACATAAATCAAGAAAGTTTAGACGCCAGAGAGAAGCCAGCGAATGAACACCTGAACAAAGATGATGATGGCAAGCCAATGTCCGATGCGGAGCTAGGAATAAGATTGCGGAGGTTATATGAGCAAAAGAGAAAGATTTACAAAGATCTTAGTGCTGTTCAGGCTCAAGAGAGAAAAGCTAACAATGAAATTAGAGCATTGAAACATAAGTTGCGGAAGTCCATTCTTAAAGAAGCTCAAATAGTTGTTACAACTTTAAGTGGTTGTGGAGGAGATTTGTACAATGTTTGTGCTGAATCTTTATCTGCCCATAAATTCGGTAGTCCATCTGAAGATAATTTATTTGATGCGGTAGTGATTGACGAAGCAGCTCAGGTAAATATTTGTAGCATGCTTTCTTGTTTGACATAAGGTGTTCTCGTCACAGTTCATCACTTTTTTTGTTTTTGTGGCTGTACAGGCTTTGGAACCCGCTACACTGATTCCTCTGCAGTTGTTAAAGTCAAAAGGAACGAAATGTATAATGGTGAGAGTTGTTCACTTGTGTTACAGAAGTTTCTACTATATTTGCAGTTGTACCTGAATAACCTTGTCTCTTATTACAGGTTGGAGACCCAAAGCAGCTTCCAGCAACAGTTCTCTCTAACGTTGCAAGTAAATTTTTGTATGAATGTAGCATGTTTGAACGTCTACAGAGGGCTGGGTATCCTATCCTTATGCTTACCCAGCAGGTACGCTGATTACTTGATACTTTCTCCTTCTTTTAAATTGGAAGTTTCCCCTGCAATTTTATCTTTGTTGTGTTAGCTAAATGGTTGAACGTTTGCTTGAAACTAGAAAATTATGTCTGTGTCTGGAAGTTGGGCTAATATGCTTTCTCTCCTAACAGTATAGGATGCATCCAGAAATTTGTAGATTCCCGTCCATGCACTTCTATGACAGTAAGTTACTAAACGGTGTCGACATGTCAAACAAGTCAGCCCCATTTCACGAAAGTCCTCATCTTGGACCGTACGTTTTCTATGATATCGTTGATGGCCAAGAGCATCGAAGTGGAGATTCTAGCTCCGTTTGCAATGAACAAGAAGCTGAAGCAGCTGTTCAACTACTTAGATTTTTCAAGAAGAGGTCATTATTCATCTTAAGCCATCTATTTACACAATGTTTAAGAAAATTCTATGATATCATTTTACTCACTGGCTAGCTTGTTACTTACAGATACCCCTCTGAATTTGTTGCTGGAAGGATTGGCATTATAACTCCTTACAAACGTCAGCTTGCAGTTTTACGTTCGCGTTTCACTGGTGCATTTGGGGCTCAAGTAACAGCAGATATGGAACTAAATACTGTCGATGGTTTTCAAGGCAGAGAAGTTGACATATTAGTGCTATCCACGGTAAGAGCTACACATTCTGCTCCTGATGGGATCAATCAAAGTCGGATTGGTTTTGTTGCAGATGTTAGACGCATGAATGTTGCTCTCACTAGAGCCAAACTCTCCCTTTGGGTTTTGGGTAACACACGAACCTTGCAAAGAGACCATAACTGGGCTGCTCTTGTGAAAGACGCAAAAGAAAGAGAAGTCATTATACCAGTTAAGAGACCGTACAACTACATGTTTGGCGAAAAAGTGATGGAACAAAACCATTCTGAGAATCTTCTAGATAAATTTTCTAAGCCTGAGAAGCAGCATTCACGTCGCAAGGAACAGATAGCAGAGACATCTAATGATAGAAAAATGAGGAAATCCGATGGAGATGTTGTGCCTCTCTTATCAAAAGGATCAGAGAGCAAGCACAGCAAACGAAAAGCCAAAGAAGAAGCTTCGTCTCAAAGGACAAAACTAGTTGCAAGCAGTGAGAAAGTAACATCCGAAGAGACTCTGAGAGGGAGCCATGAAAAGAAAGAAAAAATGAAAGGTAGAGAGAAAAACAGTAACCCAGAGAATAGAGATGCAAATAGTTATAAGAAGGAAAATTCAAACGAGTGGAAGAAATCTAAGAAGGCTTCATCAAAGGCTGACAGTAGCAAGAGGGCAGATCCCACAGATGAAGTTGGACAGAAAGATAGACAGATAAACAAAGGCAATGCTTCTAATCAAGGTGGTGTTGAAGATATGATATCCAAACGGAAGCAACAGCGTGAAGCAGTTGCTGCCATTCTAAATTCGTCTCTGATTCCTTCACATAAGCCCAAACCTCCAAAGCGACCATTGTCCCCAGGTTCAACCGCTGGCAGTCATACAAGACCGCCTAAAGCAATCAAAGGTAAGATTTCATTATATATCAAACGTCTTTATGTTTTGCCTCGGAAGCTGATGTGCAAATGTAAATTACTGTCGTAATGCTAAATTTTGCTCACTTGATGCGATTCTTATTTGCAGAGTCCAGCAAGAACAACAGTAAACAAAGATAACACGGAAACTGATGTCACAGTTGATTTCCCACAATCGTGCCAGTTGCTAAATTCCAGTTTGATGGGTAAGTTTTATGCATTCCTTTGGCATCATCATAGGTTCTCTCTGAGACTAGCAGTGAGAGAAAATTTTGGCTAACCTGTAGTATTTGCAACTCCAGTCGCAAATTTTGTCTGTGAAGTTGCCTGCTAAGAATTATTTTCATTTTTCCTGTGTATATTTTCTTTTATTCTAAAGTAAAACATGCCTTTTTTTTTTTAATCAATTTTACATTAGGTTTTCTTTATTTGGAGGCAAAATTAAATGGGATAATGTAATAACGAGATGATTTTGTTCCAACAAATACAAAAATTAGAAGTGGCTGAGAACTCAAATTTCGCTACTACAACAAACACCGGAAGAAGAACAAAGAAACCAAAATCATTGGAGAATGGAGAACATCTCTTTCGAACATTTCAAGGGGCAGCTGACGGATCAGTCCCGCTCTTAACGGCGGACCAAATTTGGGCAATGCCTCTGGTGACGTGAGGCCAGACGGCGTTAACTCCGTTAAGTGCAGCACCAGAAGCTAACCCCAAGACGAAAGTCTCAACGTATCCAGGTTTCGTCTCTAGCTTTGCGTCGACGACGGCGAGCCTCCCGGTAATGGCGTCGATTTTTCTGGCGTCGGTTACAAGCTTATCCTTACTCGATTGGTTTCTGGAAGACGAAACGACTCGGACGAGCGCGTTTTGTAGGTCTTCGATGACCTTAACCGAAGCTTCTGCTGGTTCTAGCCCTCGTTTCTGGTAGTGAGAGATTAGCTCCGTCGGAGTTGGGAATTTTTTGGATTTCTGCTTTTGCTCTGCTTTACTTTCCTCCGCCGTGTTCGGTGTCGCCGGTTGCTTCATCTTCTTCTTCTCCGGAGAAACTACTGCAGAATTCGAGTGTTTTGCAGCTACCTAGTACTAGTAGCCAGGATAATTTTTTATTATAAAAAGGAAAACACAACTTTGGGTAAGAATTTCCTCCGTGGACCATCTGTTGGGCTTTGGCCCACGAATGCTGTGAAATAAGTATATAGAAAAATAATAGTCTCTTGTCTATTGCAGCCAGAAAGTGTCCGTGAGATCACTGATGTTCTTGATGCTGTTGGGAACACCACAAAAGCAACAACAAAAGGGTTTGCTATTGGGCTTGTGCAGCAGTTGGTCGAACTGCACAGGAGGTTGTCAGCGAAGTAAGAAGACAGTTTATTGAGAGGCCTGGCATTATGGTAAAATATATACATCCTCCCCTTTTATTACTTTTTTCCATTTGGGTATCCTTTTGAACTTAATGTAACAGGACTACAAGGAGAAACCTGATTATGCTCGATGTGTTGCCATTGTTGCATCTTCAGTTTTGAAGGAGATGATAAAACCAGGAGCGTTGGCTATAGTATCACCGATTGCAGTTGGTAAGTCAGTAACACGTTGGTTAAGCTGCCAGATGAGAAAGAAAGAAACATAATAATAAAACCCTCTGTATTTGGTATCCTCAGGTTTCGTGTTCCGGATCTTGGGATACTACTACACGGGACAGCCTCTGCTTGGAGCAAAAGTAGTAGCTGCAATGCTAATGTTTGCAACAGTATGTGGTATCTTAATGGCACTCTTCCTAAATACAGCAGGAGGTGCTTGGGACAATGCAAAGAAATACATTGAGACTGGAGCACTTGGAGGCAAAGGAAGTGATTCCCACAAAGCTGCAGTAACTTGGTGATACGTAAGCAATCTTTCAAGTTCCTTGTGCTTTCTCCTCTTCTTAGTCTCCACCTCATTGGTCATTTCCTTTTTACTTTCAATGTGAAAGTCCAACTTTTTTCTACTGATAAATCATGTCTTTTAATGGCAAGTGTGGGAGACCCTTTTAAGGACACAGCCGGACCGTCGATTCACGTTCTCATCAAGATGTTGGCGACTATCACGCTTGTCATGGCTCCAATCTTTTTTTGATAAAAGATATATCTAATCATCTTTGCACATATATAGTGAATGAAAGAGCTGAGGTAGGTTATGAATTCATGCAACATGTTTAAGGTTTAGTGTACTCTAAAATGGATCATTGAACTGATACTAAGCACTTCCCTGTGTCATTTTATATTTTAAACCAAACTATTTGAGTCATGTTCATAACAGGTTAAATACACCAAACTTTGACCCCTAAGAAAGAAAAAATAAAACCACCTAAAGCCGTCCATACTTGTCTTCAAAACACTAGTTAGTAGCTTTATCATCTAAGTATAATATAGCTGACTAGTGGGCATCCCACCATTATTACTCCCATGCACCGCGAAGCAGCGGAGTGGCTTCAACATCGTCCCCGAAAGTCTTCAAAAGATCGCAAGTCGAGTCATCACCGTCACCCTCAGGGTCCAACTCCATCCCTAACTCTTCCTCTATATCGTCGGACGCCGAAATCAACAACAACTCGCATCCTTCGTAGTTCAGGAAATCGGGCGGGTCCGCTGCCCCAAACCGGGTATGGCCTAAATGGGCTTGAAGATGTGCCGGAAAATGAGCCCTCCTCTTTCTCTGCAGCCCACCAAAGCCTGACCGTCCTCCTCCTCCTTGCTCTGGATTTCGTATTTGGATCAAGAAGGATCCTTCGGGTTCTATGTTCATCGACTCTTGTGGCTCTTGTGCTCTGGTATGCGACTTAGATGGGAATTCGAGCTTGTAGACTAGATGTGTATGGTGTTTTCGTGTCGGACTAGGCTTATGTCGGAGGATTCGATATATTCCTTCTCCGACAGCTCTAGCCGGCGGTTTCTGTCTATGTCCTCGAGTCTTGGTCTCATACTCCTCTGACAAACAAATCATAATCACAAAAATTCACCAAATATTACTGTAAATGCAAGAAAGTAAGAAACTATTACCTTCTTTGAGAGCAGTTTTAACATCTTCAACATTTGTGGTCACCATCTCCACGAATCCCCAAAAAGGTTGTGACTTCTTGCTCGGATCAGGTAGACTCTTCTTACCCATCACAATGAATCGTAGCAGAAGTTGTTTCTCGATGTTCACTTTCTACAAAGATTGAGATTAGACTTAATAATTTATGATCATGTAATAAGAGCTTAATCCCTAGTACTGCTTTGTTCTTAATTCTTGTGCTACCTCCACGCCGTGTCCTCCTTCACCTTGGTTCTTGGCGCCGGAGGAGCTAGTGCTAGCATCTCCGTCACCGGAATCTTTATCGGAACCTTCTTTACCTGAAAGAGGGTCTTGTTTCTCCTCCGTAGGATTCTCACCGGACTCAGGACGCATCACTATGTACAACCTTTGAACATCATCCAGACTGTGAGCTTCTTCTTTGTTAACCTTTGGCCTATAAAAGAAGAATATTTCTCCTCTTTCCTGATTAATATAAACTGACCTCATCAAAAACAGAGACCAGAGTGGGTTTTTAAACTTGGATACATAAGCAAAGAACAGAGGAATGTAAATAAAACCTGAATCTCAACTTGAGGATCTGGTCTCGTCTTGACCTCTTTACCTTGTCCCATTGTTTCTGATTTCTCTCGTACCTTAGAAAAATACCTCGTTTAAAACCCCATTAAAGAAAGACTTTTCTTTTTCTTGTGTAAACACTTGACAACGTCAGAACATTCCCACGTTGTTATTTACGTGTCGACTAACATGTAATTCATAGTTTAAAAAAAAATATAATTTTACAGCATGAATCTCCATGGTAAATTTGTATTTCCACGTATATACAACATATTGTTCCTTTGATAAAAAAAGAAAATACAAAAATTATACACAAATCCGACTCTAGTAAAACCATAGCCACTTGTTTGCTTCAGCTCAAATAAGCAACTACTTTTCTGAATAAATTGCTCTTGGCTTGCTTCTATTGAAGTTAGTTATCTCCTGCAAATCAAAATCTTAATCAGGACTGTTTATCTTAAAAATACGTGAACGTAAGATGAAAGACAATTATATCTTACCAAATTCCTTAAAACTATGGGTTTGATATAGAAGATCCAGTATTTGATATTAAAGGAGCACTCCTACCTTCCTGCAATATATATCCCACAAAAACATAAACATCACAGAGAGACATCTAAGCTGATGGAAGTGTTTTCGAATAAAATCTTCTTACCGATGTATAAGAGATTTGACTAGCATGTGAAGATCGTCCTTTTCCAGCATAATACACAGATTCAAGACTCTCTTCACCAAGCTCTCGAAGTCTATTAAGCTCAGGCATTACTTCTTTACCAAGATCAGGCCTATCTTTTCTTCTTAACTCGGCACATTGTAGCGATAACTTTGCAAGAGCCAAAGCTTCCTCTACTGGCCAATCTGGTACTGCAGGATCGAGCATATCTTTCAATGTCCCTTCTTCGATCGCTTGTTCCACGTAATAAGCCAAACCCATCGGCTGCTTCGCCGTCAAAAGCTGCAAAAGCATGATTCCGAGAGAATAAACATCTGATTTCACACCCAGCATCCCCGTTTGTTGATACTCCGGGTCAATGTAACAGAACGTCCCTGCAGCTGATGTTACTCGATACTGAGTCACGTTTTCAGCTACCGCGGGGACGAGTCTTGCAAGCCCGACGTCACTGATCTTGCTGACGTAATTGTGGTCGAGAAGTACGTTTCCTGGTTTCAAGTCTCTGTGGACTATTGGTTCTGGTTTTGTCTGGTGGAGGAAGAGGAGACCCGTAGCGATCTCAGCAGCGATCCTGAAACGCAACTGCCATGAAATTGGCGGTGTGTTTCCGCGTCTGAAAAGGCGGTCATCTAAGCTTCCTTTGGCCATGTATTCGTATACGAGGATACCGTATTCTGGACAAGCTCCTAAGAGAAGCACCATGTTTGGATGTCTTATGCAGCTTAGTACTTCAACCTGAGTCAAGTTTCAAAGTATTTCATTCAACAACCTCTTTCTTGTAACACAAGTAAGCGATAGGGAAAACAGAGTTACTTGAGAAAATTTGTAGAGAAGATAGTGATTTTGTTACCTCTTTGTGAAACTGTGATCTTCCTTGAGCAGCGTCAGGGCGTAAAACCTTAACAGCAACACTTGTGTGATCAAGATGACCTCTAAAGACAGGCCCATACCCTCCTTCTCCAACTTTTCTTGACTCTGCGAAATTATTTGTACCTTCTTCGATCTCTTGAACAGAGTATTTCCTGTATCGGACTATACTATGTCGAGAGAAAGAATCGCTTTCTTTCAATACCTTCATCTCTGCGTTTAGCCTCCTATTTGCTTCTGCTTCAGCAAGCCTGTTTGCAGCTTCAGCCGCTTCCAAGGCAGTTTTGGCTTTTGCTCTCTCTTTTTCCACCATTGACATTGCTGTTTCCTCTGTCATCTTTAATTCTTCTAATCGTCTTTCCTCTTCTGTTCTTAGCTTTTGCAGCTCTGTCGCCTAAACCAGATTTTTAACCAATTTATAAATCAATCCTCTTGAGGTAAAGAACAACATGGATCTTAAAGATGTATAATAAGTACCTCGTGCCTTGCGGTTAAAGCTTCTCTGCAAGCTGAGCTATACATATCCATAGTTTGTTTCAGCTCTAAACGCAGTCTCCTCATTTGAGCTTCAACATCATCCTGCAACAAAGTTTTGATGGAACTGTAATTGAAAAACAAATCGGAGAGCAATACAAAAGAAATATGATTTGATTTCAACTTATACCAAGCTCTGAGATGAATAAGAACAAGAAGTTCTTCCACTATCATCAGAAACAGTAGAAGAGCCATTGAGATAACTCATATCCGTAAACTTGATTCCTAATCTATGTGAGCCAATGCTCTGATCTGAGCTCGTTGACATTCTTGAGGTTCTTGCTGATTCTGGTAAGTCGTAGGTGAAAGAAGATCGATCTACACTCGGCCTCCCCGAGCTGATGAAGGAAATGTCGGATTCTTGTTGAGAAGCGCTGATGTATGAGAACTCTGACTCTGAATCTGAGAAATCCCCCACTAATTTCATATGTCCATGTGGTGGTTTTGGCAGCCCTAATCTACAAAAGTCGAAATCAAAAGACTTGTGACATTTTTGAGGAAGCTACACGTACGTAAGAGATTTCTCGATTGTTTTGCTAACAGAATATAATACCTGGTAACATCAGAATCAACTGATCTTCGTCCCCTAGGCACGGCCGGTGTGTTAGCTGTTGAAAACAAAGAAGATGGTAGATTTTAAAGAGAGATGCTTTTCACGCAAGCAACGATATATAAAAAAAAAACTCGGACCTGGTTTATGTTTTCTCTCAATGGCGATAGTATCATGATGAGTCTCTGATGGTTCGTTAAGAACTGATGGATGATAAGGAGCAGGACGCGAGGAGTTTCGTACCGAAGAGATCTTTCCTTTGGAGATGACGTAAACATTGCAGAAATCTGGGGCTGCTTTTGACACACTCGTTGGTAAATCCGTTTTGAATCTTCTGTTAAGGATCAAAATCATCAAAAAAAGGAAACCCTAAGTTTGGTTAAATACTTGTTCCGCACCCAAACCAATAAAATCATTAATCATCAGTTGTATTACCGCATAAAGCTGTTCCGTGATGGAGCACCAAGAACTAGATTCTCAATCGCAGAAACCGTAACATATTCGACTATTGCTTTGACTTTGTCTACGTCTTCAAGCACAACGTCCAGACAATGGATCTGCATGCATGCATGCATAAAACCAAAAATAAATAAATTAAATAAAAAAGCTTTGAAACTTGGATTTAAATTAAGTATACATACAAGCCTGTTACAAAAAAAAAAAAAAAAAAAAATTAAGTATACATACCTCTTTGCGGCTGCAGTAACAGTGGAAGGATACAAAGAGATCTTTCGTCTGTTTCTCCATTTGTTGCTTATGTGAGATTCCTTCTTCAATGTCTGCAATTGAATAACACAATTTAAAAACCCTAAAAACTAAACTGGAAATGAAATGTGAGACATAATATATTAATGTGAACCTAGAGAAGATTGAGATTTGGGAAGGACATGAATAAGGGCAAGAGTTTGTCCACGAGAGGCAAGATTCTCCAATGTCCATTTGATAGCATTTTGGCTACTTTTGTCTTTATCTATTGCTATCGCCACAGAACCACTTCTCGTTCCTTTGTTGTTTGTCGCTTCTGCTTTCGGTAGCCACATTTTTTATTTTCTTTTCTTCTTCTTCTTGTTCTTTCTTCTCTTCTTTTTATTTTTATTTTTGTAAAAGAAACAAAATAAAAAAATGGAGAAATTTCCTTTTTTCCCTCGTTAGTAAGTGTTATATTTGTAATACTTTATCAAAAAAAATTTTATCAAAAAGAAAAAAAAAAAAAATAGTATCCGCAAATTTCTAATGTTGATCATAAAAGAAGAAAATAGATAATGCAATGGGTTGAGGGATTTTTTCTATAACTTTTTCTTTTGTCTGATGGAGGCTATTTCAAGGTTCTATATTTGGATATGAAAAACTAATTTCGGAGGTAATAATTCAAACCACACAAAGTAATAAGTTTTTTCTAAATTCTATTACATTCGTGGAAATTAAACGAGAAAAGTGTTAAAACTATAAAACATATTTCTATTTACCTTTCTTTTTTTAATACTTTCAAAATAGTAAAAGGTGAAACAAGTAACAACAACAAAAATAACCGTAGTGATAAAAGCAAACTAATTACTTTTATAGAAAGGCACATTACGTGACAATATTAACGATTTAGAAGAGTTTTAAAGGAAAAAAATATCATTTATACCTTTTTTAATTATTTTTTTTGCATAGAGAAGTTAAGCTAGATGATATTTCTCGATCTTCTATTGGTTAGATCATAAACACCATTTCTTTATTTTTGTTAAATGAGTTAACGTTTTATAGTTATATATGTTTCGACAAATAGCTCAGAAAGAAAAAACTGGAAAAGAACCTAATAAAAAGGACCACTGAGATCAGTCTTTTTATTAATCTTTATTCATGATGCTTTTACTCTTTTCATTTGTTGTTTTTCATAAATATATATTTGTACCATGCATGTATTCAATTTCTGATCATTTCCCAATCATAAAATTATAATTGGTGGTAACTGAATATAATTAATTTTCCTGGATAAATTATGAATTAATGAAGTTATTTTAATTTCAGTTCATTATGCAGAATATTTCTAAAGCTAAGCCAATTTAGGATGCCACAAGAAGCAAACCCACGCGTAACTTAAGCGCGTTGAGCGCGTGAGACAAAAACCCCTGGACTAAAACCCACGAAAATGGGTTATTTTCGCATAAAATAGAAATTTCAAGACCGAGAGCGCGTGATTGAGGTTTTGCATTATTATTATTTATTTATTTCCTTTGGTCTGCCTTGAGCATTTATTTATTTTTCGCATTTCGATCAAAAAGGAACATACTTTTACACAGAGCATTTATTTTGTATACACTGACATTAAGATAATGTGTTCTTTCTTCTCTTTTTTTTTTTGGTTTCTAATTTAAACTGTATTTTTTTTGTCTAAATATATTTCTAAGCAGTATATAGGCAAATTCAAGCAGTTTTGGCTTCTAAAACTTTTCTGATTTGTTTGACTAAAAAAAAAAAAAACGTTTTCGATTTGCTTTTTTCAGAAACACGCTTCTACCATGCTTCCAAACCTTTTTTAAACTTTTGATTCTGTTTTTGAATTCGAAGCAGTAATGGAACTACGGGCAGAGCTTCAATACTTTCTAGGTCCTTCCTTTTTGAATGTTTTCTATTTATAAATATGCATCATATTCATTTTTTTGTTTGTTTGATAGGATGATAAAATATGACAATTGAGATATTAATCATAAATTTGAATTTATGTATGTACTTTGTATAGAAGTGAATTTATTTATAATATTTTTAATTCATTGTTATTATTTTTTATAAATATAGAATTCAATTCTAAACTATAAAAATTTATATAATCTCAAAGACTATTCTTATTTTGTAAAATTGTCCCAATCCATAATTTCAAAAAACTTTAAAAGTTAAAATACCACCATAAATTAATAATTATTAATTTACATTATAAAATAATAAATATTAATATCACTATAAATTAATAAAATTTCGTGGTTTTACTGTACTACATGTACGAGTGGGAAGGTGCTTTAATGTAAAGATTCCTCAACTTTGCTACCATCCTTTTTTATATTTTATTTAAAAAACTTTAATTGGTAACACAACATTTATTGTTTCTCATTTATGTTATTTGGCTTTTAAGCCTTCAAGATGGATCAATCATATATATATCTTCTTCTTTCTTTTGTTAAAAACAAAAGCAAACTCCTTTTATATTCCAACTTCCATAACGTGAATACAAACAATCATACACACATCATTATCAAATTTTTTATATATAAAAAGCCTAATAATAGTGAAACTTTTAATTTTACTTGAATCGGTTTTAAAAAGTTTCTTGGAAGATAAAGGTACTTCAAGCTTTAAAACTTACTCTGTTTTTTTGGGTAGAACAACTCGTGCAATGGGGGCTGTGTTGAAAGTGACAAATAGCTAATATTTTCTCATGCATTTATTGAGTCTTTCTTTGGACCCGATCCCATTCAACTCATCTTCACAGATGTCCCAACACCTCTCTCTCTCTCTCTCTCTTTCTCTTTCTTCTTTCCTGATCACAAGGTTCTTTCTCTGAATCTCATTTTGTTAAGCGTCTGGAGAGATCCAGTCGAAGTTCTGAAGCCAACCAAAAGTTAAATCTCATCGATCATACAATGTCTGCAGACTCTCTGCTCGCATCTAAACAGTAAGTTTCATTCCTTTTTCCAGTTTCTTTTCTTGTCTGAATATTGTGATTCTTCTTCCTCCACTCTCTGTTTCTTCCTATTCCTAATTCTTCATTGATGTGTGTCTTATGCAGACGAAGTTCTTTGTCCAGATTCTCTCAGACCAAAGCCGTTAGTCCCTCACAGGTTCAGTTTCCTTATATCCAATGGAAGAGTTTCCATTTACTTGCTCCTCAAGCTGTCAACCCACTTAGCCTTTCTACTCATTTCCTCTTTTATTTCTTCACAAACATTATTTCTTACGACTCCTACTTCCTCTGAAAATATAGCCGAAGAATGTTGTTACTAAAGTGATCAACGGTCTTGATTCCCCCAAGAACAGCAAGTTTCACCATTACAGATTCGAACTCGAGCACGATGTGAGTTTCCACTCACCTCTCTTTTAATCACATATCGAGAAATCTGTTAAAAAATTGTTAGAGCTCAGACTCTCTTACGGTCTGAAACAGGTGCAACGATTAAGAGATCAATTGCAGAAGGAAACTGCACTACGCGTTCTATTGCTGAAGGCTTCTGATCAAAGCCATAAAATTGAGCTGTCTCACGCATCTTCTCTTCCACGTAGCGTATGTTCCTCCAACTTGTCTTAAGTTTTAAGCCTCCAACGTCTCAGGGATAAAAATTTGAACCTTGTGAAATGTTCCTAATAACCCACAGGTTCAAGAACTTCTCTCCAATATAGGAGCTATGGAAGCTACAGTCTTTAAGCTCGAACAAGAGATCATGTCTCTGCATTTCTTGCTGATTCAAGAGCGAAATGAGAGAAAACTCGCCGAGTACAATCTCACGCATTCTCTATCTTCACCTGTATGTTAATTAAATTCTTCTGTCTGTTTAATATCTGTCTCCTGTGACTGGCTCTGATTATAAAAATTGTTGCCCAGAACGCTACAGATTTGGTTAGACTTTCCGAAAAGAACGAAACTTCGCGCCGTAAAGATCACAGAGCACAACCTAGAAGCAAACTGGCAAAGTCCTTGCAGAATTTTGATAATGCTAATGAACTATCCAAGGAGATGATCAGATGCATGAGAAACATATTTGTGTCACTAGGAGAGACATCTGCAGGTTCCAAATCTTCGCAAGACACAACCAGTTTTTCTTCTCGTGAGAATCCTCCATCATCGTCATCAACATCATGGTGGTCTCCTTCAGAACACTCACGGATCTCAATGTGGGCACAGAGTCCACGGATAGATATTCAGAAGAACTCAGATGTTTTAGCAGAGAGCAATGTATTTGATCCTTTTAGAGTCCAAGGAAAGCTGAGCTGGGCTGACATAGGGAGTTACAGATCTGCCACTGAAGTGGCTTCAATGTCTGTTGAGGAGAAGAGGCTCGGATATGCTTCAGATGAGTTATGGAGATTCAGGTATCAACACAGTTTAAGCAACTTCTGAGATTCAGTAATGGTTCTTGGAATTTGACAAACTCTTTGTGGTATTTTCTTTACAGGAACCTCGTTGAAAGACTTGCCAGAGTAAACCCAACAGAACTAAGCCACAACGAGAAGCTAGCCTTCTGGATCAACATATACAATGCCTTGATCATGCATGTAATAGTGTCTTTTGAATTTTCCATAATCATCGATTTGCAGATACAACAAAACTTACAATTTCGTTGTTGTCTGATTTAGGCATACTTAGCTTACGGTGTACCAAAAACGGACTTAAAGCTCTTCTCCTTGATGCAAAAGGTTTGATCTCCACACACAAAACAACTTTAAGACTTCTTGGTTTGGTTCAGACAGAGGTTAACGTAAGTCTCTGATTTGGAGGTTTTATCAGGCCGCTTATACAGTTGGTGGGCATTCATACAACGCTGCAACGATCGAATACATGACTTTAAAGATGAACCCTCCTCTGCATCGACCTCAAATCGTACTACACTCAAACTTCTGTATTTCTGCAACATCTTTACTTTCTATTCTATATTTCTTACCTATACTGGGATATTTAGGCTCTGCTTCTCTCCATTCTCAAGCTGAAAGTATCAGAAGAACAGAGACAAGCGGGGATAAGCAAACCTGAACCTCTGGTGTCTTTCGCTCTCAGCTGTGGAATGCACTCATCTCCTGCAGTAATATTTCCACACCTATCTGCTATTCACATCAGATTTTTTGAACCAGATAGCGAAGTTCTCACAGAAATCACTTGCAGGTGAGAATATACTCAGCCGAGAACGTAGGCGAAGAACTCGAAGAAGCTCAGAAAGATTATATACAGGCGTCAGTGGGAGTGAGCCCCAGGGGGAAGTTGATTGTGCCTCAAATGCTCCACTGCTTTGCCAAGAAATTTGTTGATGACTGCAAGGTTTCTCTGTGGATTTCACGTCATTTGCCACCTCGCCAAGCCGCATTTGTTGAGCAGTGCATTCACCGGCGACAGCGGTGGGGTTTCCTGGGTTCATCTAGTAGCAAATGCGGCGTAGTTCCTTTTGACTCACGGTTCCGATATTTGTTTCTCCCATGACAGGGCATTGATGCACAATGACGTGATTATAGCAAATACTGTTCGGATCCTAGGGTTTAGGTCTATAACTATTTAGGTGATTCAATCTTCTTTTCTCAAAATAATAAAAAATCAATGTATTTAGATCTGCTAAATGAAATAAGAAGCGGAAATACATTCTCTCAAATTGCAAAAATATAGTAGTATCCCCGGGGTACATGTTATTCTGACAAATTACTAAAATATTATGTGTCCATAAGGAAGAGATGAAACTAACTTGGTCCTAACTAGGCATTGATGGAGGAAATGTCTACTTTCCGAGATGCTTGGACCACATTCTTGTTTCCAGGGAATGACTTGCGGGAGACGTCCACGAGTGCTTTGAAGCTGTAAGGTTCATGCATAGATAGCTCAGACAGGACTTTCCGGTTCAGCTGGATGTTCTCCTTCATCAGTCCATGGATGAAGTTACCGTAGTTCACCTGTTTCAAGTTTTAGATGTTAAAATTCCAATCAAACATATCATTTACATGTTTTTCACAAGAAACAGAGTAGAAATCCACATATAATAGCACAGATTTGAAGGAGACATACAAACATGCAACAATGGAACCAAAACTATAAGTAAAAAGAAGTAATCAAAGTGACGACAAAACAAATGTGTTACTAATCTGAAAACATCTAACCGAGTTAGATAAATATGTTTCTCTGCTCATATTAGGAATTAGTTACGGTTTCACTTAGTTGGAAACCATTGACAGAAAAAGTATTGGTCATATTACCAACACGAAAAGATCCTTTAAGCATAGTTGAACTACAGGGTAGACATTCACATCCTAATTCTACATTCGGATAGTATCTCATACATTTAAAAACTCCAAATTTGATCTTCATATGGATAATATCTCAGAAGTTGGAAAACACAAAAATTGATCAAAGAAAAGATATAAGCAATCTGAAATGCCCATCTTCTAATAACTCCCAGCAAGTTCTATCTCTGGCCCTATGTGGATGCAAAAACAATCATACTACAACTTGTGAGCAAGAAGAAGAAGCCAGTAAAGCAATTAGGTAGAACAAAAGCAATTATGTCAACAACGACAGACTCGGACGAAATTAAGCACACCAATTTAACATAACAAAACCCTAAATCCCAAGGATTCGATCATGGACCTAAAAAATAAACTCATTTTTAAATTGCAAAATGAATATCTCAAAAATTTCATTTCTAAAGTAACAATAGTTGATCGAATCAAGGCATTTTAGCAGTTGACGGGAAGCAATCAGGCCAAACCCAATTAAAAAAAAAAATTGGTGGGATGCAAAAGGAAAACGTACTCCGTGCTGACGAGAGCCGGCGTTGATGCGCTCGATCCAGAGACCCCTCATCTCACGTTTCTTGTTACGCCTATCTCTGTAAGAGTACTGCAGAGCTTTCTCAACTCTCTCCCTCGCAATTCTTATGCAGTTCTTTGCTCTTCCCCTGAAACCTTTCGCTAGCTTGAAGATCTCCTTCTTGTTCATCTTTCTCCTCCCTTCTCTCACTACTGTAACTCCACTTCCTTCTTCCTCTTAACGCCGCCTCTGTTGTGTGTTTCCCATTAAGTGTTCATTTCCGGGTCGATCGAGTCGGGTCAGGTCTGAGCTAAATCCGGTACAATTAAAAACCCATTCTCTGTCTGATGGGCCGTTTTTCATTTAATATCACAAACTAAACAGAGCCCATTATCCATCCATTAACGCACATCAGCAGACACGTGTTGCCCCGTCATGAAGAGACATTAACACGTGTCATATGTTCTGCTTCAATTTTGCCGGGAAACAAACAAAAACAAAACCAGAATTTAAGTGGCTTTGCTCTGTTCCGTCACACTCATAAAACCCCAAAAGAGAGAGAGACTTTTTAACCGTCAAGAACAAGATGGAAAATCATCATCACCGACTCTCCTCCACGAAATCCGACGGCGTAGAAGCGTCGGACGGTGTGGGGCAGGGGAAGCTATACTCTCCTGACCACGCGATCAAAATCGCTACAAAACGCTACGAAAACGTGGAACAGGGGAAGCTATACTCTCCTGACCACGCGATCAAAATCTCAGAGAAGCCTAACCCCGAAAACACTGTGGAATCATCTGATTCAGAAGAAGGGGAGAAGCAGAGCAAGACGATGGTGTTGTTGGGGATGAAGAATCTCGCATCTGTTAAGGATAAAGTATTAGAGAAACTAGCCGCTGCTTCGGTTCCCTCGGAGTCGCTAGAAAACACTAAACAGTTTTTAGAAGGTGTGATTAAGGATTTCGCCGGAGCGGCTCAGGGTATGACGAAAGACGCGTTGCACCGGATTAAAACTCATCTCACTGTTATTCTCCCTTCTGTTTCTCCAGACGTCACCGGAAAGGTTTGGTTTTTGAACTTATAAATTAGCCGGATATACAAAGCTGGGTATTTCTGTTTGTCTGAATGATGTTGATGTCTCTGAGCAGATAGTGGACGATGCTGAGAAGGAAGCCATTAAAGGAGAGGAAGAAGATGAGAGAAAATCAAAAGATAGCTCCGGAGACGAAGTCACAGGAAAGTTGCCGTATGTGTCTCCAGCGTCTTCATTTTTCGGCTCTCTCGCCAAACCTTTCTCAAAGCTTTGATGAGTTTTTTGTTTCTTAAGCGTACAAGTTAATCTAAGATGAATAAGAAAAATCCTAAGATTTCTGTATCATTTGAAATTTTATGTTTGCTTATGATGGAAGATGGTGTACGCTTAATATGTTGATTACTCACTTAATACTGAGATTCACACTTTTGTTCTAGGCCTGATATCGTCTTTGTTTTTTTTCTTTTCATATCGTCTTTGTTGCACACAAATTTAGAGTTGAATATAAGAAATCAATGGACAAAAGAGATTCTTGTATGTACAAGTTATGCATGTACGTATGTATATATGTATGTAACGCTTATCGGAGCTTGAGATGAATACAATAGACAAAATGAAATCAATGATTCTTCTTTTCATGTGTTCTTCTCAAGTACAGATAGAGCCGGAGTCAGATAATTGTTGGCCTTGTCTGGCAAATGAGCCACCTGAGAGAGACAGAGAGAAACTCTTATCAGATGATATGATTATGAAGCTATGTGACTCATATTTCAGGTGATTCCTCTTACCAGCTCATAAAGCTCTAATCCTTGCTCAGCAACGTATTCATGGCAAACCTGCAAAAACCAATAGAAGAATGTGAGAGATCCATGTTGTAATATCTTCTTTATATGTCAATGATTGAATCTTTTCAGCTATTTTTATGAACTGCCACTCACATCGAAGCTTTTGTTTCTCGCTGTTGAATCATGTAGTGCCTTGACACATATATCAGCCACATCCGCGCAACTAATACTCTGAAATTGAAAGAGAGAATTAGGCATTTTAATAAGTTAGCTCGGCCAGAGAATGGCTTGAGTTTCTCTGTTTCATGATTGAAACTAACCTGAGAAATTCTGTTTCCTTGATCAAATATCAGAGCTCGTTGGCCGCCTGGTTCTTCCTGTATCAGAAAAGTTGTTATTAAAGCCATCTACATGCAAATTAGTTGGAACTCAAATAACAGTACCTTCAAGGGACCAGGACGAATAATGGTGTATCCAAGGCCTGATCTTCTCAAAGAATCTTCACCAGCCTGAAAATTTCAGTGAGAGAGAGAGAGTCAGAGAGATGTGAAAATATGCAACTTACTGGCACAAATCCCTGAGATTCCGTAGCCTCAATATTCAAGAGTTTTATAATGTGTGTGTTCAGCCAAATTATACTTACCCTCTTAGCTTTGAGGACTTGCTCCCTTCTGTTGGGTTCTACTCCCGAACCAGTACATGATACCAAAATAAAATCGGTTTCTTGACCGGCCTAAGAAAAAAATGTGGGAAGTTGAAATCTATACAATTCCTGTTTTTTCGTTCTCTATATGATATGATCTTCAGCATGTAGAAATTAAGTTGGAGTACTTACAGGCAAAGCTTTTATGTACTCGAATACAAGGCTAAAGCTCCTCAGATCTTGTTGCGCAGCCGCAAGTCCATCAACAGGTCTCTGAAAGAGGAAAAACCCCAAAAGATTGCGATATTCAGACACCACGGAATGAAAGTTTTAGGTTAATGTCTTAATGATTAAACAAATCAAGCACTAGAAACAAATGCTGAAGCATTGAAAAGAGTAAGCAAACCTGTCTTTTAGGCTCAAAACGTATTGTCAATGTGTGAACGAGAAAAGGGTCTAGCGGAGGATCTTCTGGGTTAACAGGACGAAAAGCTGAAAATGGCACTCTTACCTGCCCAAGGAACCAAAGCTTTAGCCAGATAAATAGCGGATAAGGGGTCAGATTAATTAGCAAGACTGATAATGCGCTTTTTATACCCGACAAAATCCTGCTTTGGTACTGATCCTTGCGAAGTACTGTTTGCTTTGAGACATATCTGATGTTGGACCAGCTTCAAGGATTACAACATAAGATCTTCCGTTCCCACCAACCGAAAGAACTAAGCCTTCATACCTATTGATATGTGTAGAAGCATAAGCACAAAAAGACGGGTAAGGCTAATACATATTGGAAGCATAAGCACAAAAAGGAAGCTAAGGCTAGTTGGGTTTTAGACGGTGTTAGAAACTTCATTAATACTACTTGCAAGTTATCCCCATTCTCTAAGTTTCTATGCTAAAATCATTTCAAAGAACATGCTGGGATGAGTAAGGATGATCGATGCATTTTTAAATCACGCAATACCTGTCGAGAGTGGCACCCAGTGGAAGTGAAAGTTTCTTCGACAACTCAACATACCCTCCGCGGGTGAAAACATAACCTGCATTTAAAACCCGATTAAACCACTGTACCCTATACTCACATCAAAAGTAAAAACTTTGTATTGGCATATTCTCAGAAGCGATAGTGTGTACCTGAAAATTCAGCTCTCTCAGTTTCTGTGAACTCGAACTTAGCATCCATTCCACCATCATATTTACTAGCAGTTGTGTCCTGAAAGTAAGTTCCTTGACGAATTTCCCAACCCTCAAGTGACTCAGCCGACTTGAACTTAGAAATTAGAAGCTTGCTTTTGCTGCTTTTACCCGCTCTTAGTTGAGCTAGTCTGTTATTGTAATCCTGCAAATAAACAAAACAATACATAGGAATGAGTACTCAGTGCTCAACAAAACAAAGACCCCGAAACGATCACGTGGAAAACTTAGTTAATACCTGAAAAGCCTTGGTGAGGTTATATACACCCAAATGATCAACCCGGGTAAGGTCTGCAGTAATAGTAGAGCGAGCAGTGGCGCAGTAGATGATCTTGTTGCAGCTTTCAACTGCGGATTTGAGCGTTGACGGTTCACCCACATCTCCAACCACAATATCCACTGACCTTGGCAACATATTCATCACTTCCTCATCTTGTTTCCTCACCAGTGCCTAAACATAATAACCTCAAATCTTTGAAAACTGTAAAGCATTTGCATAAAAATACACCAACCGGTCCAATACTATATATATTATATTAATCTTCAGATTTGTGAGCATTATATAAATGAGCATTTTGAAATGAAATTGAACCTTAACGGTGTAGCCACGGAGCATGAGTTTACGGACGACGATACGGCCGATTCTACTAGTAGCTCCGACGACTAAAACGGTGACGTTTTGAGCGCCAGGAACAGCGAACTCGCACATAGGTCCTTCTCTAATGAGAAGACTGTCAAGAGTCTCCTGCTCATCGGGTCGGGTCGTCCTCGACATCTGACCTAATCCAGAGAATTTACGCCACACCTCATCAAAGATCTGCCGCGATCGCCGTCCTAATCCCACGGGATTCACATCGTCCAATTTCAGTGTCGGCGGAGACGGTGGTGATTGAGCTGAAGGCGGAGCTACGTCGAGTTTCTTCGCCGACGTCTCTTCGCTTTCCTTAGTAGTTGTGGTTCCGGGTCGGGTCTTGGTCTTCTTTTTGTCGGAGGGTGGAGTTGGAGACGGAGAAGAAGATTGAGCTCTAGGGATTACGATTTGGGAGCGATCATGGAATCTGTGGATTCTGGTGTTGATGCTGAAACTTTTGCCAAAATTGGAACTTAGAAACCTCGCATCAGTCGCCGCCATGTTACTGCCAACAATACTACCCACCATTGTCTTTTGAAACTCTGCTTCTGCAACAAAAACAGAGCACACAATTTTGAAAAAAGAAAAAAAAAAAATTGAAAAAAAAAATCGTGTAAATAATTTGGATAATTAATAATTATAAAATGCATACACTTGTTAAATTGATGAATCTTTTGCATGCTAGACTGTCATGGAAAAGACTCTTCTTGGTCGAAAATTGGAAATGGATAACGAAAGTGAGATTTTTCAATTTTTGTTTTGTCGTTTGAGAAAATGTAATTACTAGAGAAAAAAAATAGAAGAATAAGAAATGGTTGGATCGGAAGACTTTGACATATCAGAAAGAAGAAAGAAGAAGAGAGAGAGAGGAGTGAGAAGAGAAGATGACCACAGAATCTGGTTTGTTGTGTATCGGACAGTGATATCACTTATGAGCCAATTAAGTAGCCACGTACACTCTCGCTTTTCCTCTTCTTTTCTTTATTTTATTTCTTCCTTCGAGAAAAAGAATATGTATATATGAATCATGTAAGCGTCAAATAAAACAGAGCTTAATAAACCAAAAACCTAATCCAATTAACGAACGAACTGAAAAATATGTTAATACAGGTTCACCCAAAAATGTAAGAGAAGCAGCCTTAGACACTCTCTCCATCTTTCTCGCCTAGCAAGCTATACGTCCCTACTCATATATTTGTATATATTACATTCCTACCACACCCCTCCCCTCTCTCTTCAAAGGTATAAAAGTATTTTACATAATGTACCACCAGGCTACAAAAAAGAGAACACTAAGAAGAAGAAAAAGGCAGTAAGACACAGAGCGTATGTATATATAATCAAGCCACTGAACTGAATCGAAGAGTCTGCAACCTAACCCAGATCATAAGTTAGCATCGACGAAGGTTCTTCTGCTTCACTGGCAACTTAGCTGAGAAACTCTTCAAGTTACACAAGCGCTTGTTCCCCAATTAATCACCACTCCATGATTTGTGTCTGTTAAATACCAATCCATCTAAATTAAACCGTTATAGGGTTTGCTTCTTTTCTTCTTATGTGTCTTCACTAGCTGGTGTTATTCACTTCTCCTTCGTCTTCTTCCAGTGGAGCTCAGAGACACCACCTGCTTTCATCTTCTTAACCTTCGGAAGAAGATTACATTCCCACTTCTGCTTAGATCCTAAATCAAATTAGTATATACAAATTAATCAACCCGAGGTTCCAGCGACTTCTGCAGCTCTCTGTCTCATCATCTCCATGACCGCAGCTCTGCGCCGTGAATCCGATTGCTGTTGTAACCTTCTCAGATGTTCCTTTAGGTCCCTGAATTGAGAGATATACAATGATCAATACAAATCATATGGACCATTAGTTTTATAAAGATTTACCACATGTTATGCCCGGGTTCTCATATATCCATCCAAAAATATTTGTTGAGGTTGCAATTTTCGGATGTGGTATGATATAACCATGACTCCAGGAAAGAGAAAGATAGATAGACTTTCAATTTTAAGTGTTGAAAGCGAGGGTAAATAGTGAATGATCCCACAAAGAAATCAACTACAAAATGTTAGACAGAAGTTAAAGAGATTACCCGCATCGAGGTACATCACACTTGGATTCCTTGCAGGCCCGAGCGTGGAGTTGCAAAAGATACCACATTTTTTTGCATAGAACACAACCCCCTGAGGCACGTATTTTGCAACGGAGACCATGTCGAAATAGCCCCTTTACTTTGCGGCAATTGGGATATTGGCAATGTGGAGAACGACACTGCGACGCATGCACGAGGAGATCGAGCATTTTCCTGAGCTGCATATTTTAGATAAATAAAAACTTTAGCATTTCAGATACATTTTGGAGCTATATGACTAACTAAGCCCATCCATTTTCTCAAATCAGAAGAAGCCTGCCTTAAGCAGGAAAAGAAGAGGGCAGCTTTTTCAAGAAGATCTACCATTTAAAAGAAAAAGAAAAAAACAGAATATTACAATACCTGCAAGACCCGCAATTGCCTAGCTTCTTTGTTTTGAGCGTTTTGATCAGCTAGTGATGGATGATTTGTTAACTTGTGAGGATGATTAACACAGCCATCTTTACTGTAACAAGCATTGCACACATCATAGTCTGGGCAAACTTCACAGCGCCAGCCTTGACCACTTTCAATATCGAGGTGACATGCGTTACATGTTGTGACAAAGGCAGGAGCAGTTGGATTATGCAGATGATAAAGCACCATCATGGAAGAATGCTTTGCCCGCCTCAGTGTGTCATACTGATAATGGTTCCCTTGACAAAGACTCAGGAATGCTTGCCTTGTATCGAAAAATTCACTTTCAAGTATCTCATCTCTGTCCTTAGTATCCGCAGAAATATCGCCGATCTCAACCTACAGTATCAAAACCACTATCTTGTGAGATACAAAAAAATACAGAAACGCATGAGACTAAATAACGGAACCTCTTCTCAGGACCTGACCCAAAAAAAACCAATGCAACTTACATGATACAGTTTATGTTTATCTTTGTGATTAACAGGATGTCTTTCTCTATCTTCTCGTTTCTGTTCAGCCTCATAACACCTGAAAGGTAGAATAACGTTTTATAGATTTCAGCACTCTATCAGGATTAAGCACACATAGGTTTACCAATTAGTCTCTTCCACGAAGATAATTACCACAGCTTCCAAGTTATACAAACCAAGTCACAGCAACAAAAGCGCCAAAAAGAGAGAAAAAGTTAACAGCAGAAGAGAAAGGACAATTCTTACCCATCACATAACTGGAAGTCTTTGCATTGGCTGCAAACCCAACGATTTCCAGTAACCATCAGTGTGCAGCAATGTGTACAACAATGCTGCAAGTGAACCATGATAAAATCTTCCTTCATTGGATGAATGGTCTCACCAAGCTAAAAACATACAGAAATAATATTAACATGAACACAAAACCAAAAGAAAGAACAGAATTACTTAAACTGATATGCAGAAAAGGAAAAGGGCATGGAAAGAAACGACTACTTTATGCATTAGCAGCAGATCTTTGGACGCATTCCCAGAGAGATCAGACTGGCCAGATGCTTTAAGAGCTCTTTTTGTAATGGGTTTCTTGAGAAATCCTTTCTTATTTCCCTTTCTACCATCATCTTCTTGACTCATTTGGTATATGATATCCTCTGCTGCACCTGGCCAGTAGTCACCATCGAAGTAAGGGAGCCTAGCTGCTGTAACCTTAGCTCTACATTCACCAGTTTGCAAGAAAAAGTGGTCATATAGATTTGTAGTTTCTGCAACAATTCCTTCCTTCGCAGCTTTTCTCAACATTGCTAGGTACCTGTGTCGACCAGGAGCAATTGGAGTATATAAAGGATTCTTCCTAAGAATTTTATGGAGAAAATCACCAAAAGCAATTGGACTGACCATTCCCGTAGTTTATCAGATTTTGGCGTTTTCTGAATTTCTGGATGGCAATATAGAATATAGTCCTCACCCTTCAGTGGTGGACAAGCCCATATGTAGCAGCTCGTGAAACCACGCAATTTGCAGTATTCCAGGTAACCAATCTAAAAAAGCATCAATGATCTTGAATTTTTCCATGTAATTTAGAAGCGCACACATATCTTAGTTGAAAAACCAGGACTTACAAGAATTTCGTGGTAAACAAAAGTGCGCAGAGCCTCTCCATTAGCAGATTTAATATCAGGTCTAAAGTACTTCACAGAATCCAAATACGAGAGATAAACACGGCGTTGATTAGGAAAAGAACATTCAGATCCAAATTCTTGGACATACATCCCAAACAAGCATACTTCTACACCTTCTATCTTCTGGAACAACAGAACCACCTGATACAAAAATGTGTAGTGGGAAAGGTATTATTTCAAAAGAGGAATCCAAAAATTATGGACATGAAGGAAATACAATGATGGTGTGGGTCGATCATTCATAGTTTCATACCTTGGATTTGTACGGAAATTCTGTCGGAAAATTATCCTCCCGAAAAATTTCGAGAAATCGAGATTTGACTTCGAGCTTCTTGTCAACAGATGAAACAACTCTAACCACAAGGGATTCAGCAGTAGGAATCTGTCAGTGCCAGTAAAACAAAAATAAACGATGAGTAACCAACCAGTAAGCTTCAATCTATCGTTTCCAGTGAAGTAGCACTTCAAAAAACCATAGAAGAAGATAAGACTCGAATGCAAAATCACATGAGATTTTAAACCTTCTACATGTCCACCACCAGGTTACCTCATCATAACTCGTTCCTAGAACCCTGGCTCTCTCAGTCCTTTCCTGCTTCAGCCTTTTAGACAAACGCTCCTCTATATGGTCACTCAGAATCGTTCTTGGCAGGTCTTTAGCTCCAAGAACAGCACTCTGAGGTAAAGGCTTTCTCTCATTTTGCTCCACCTCAACTATATAGCAATTTGGGCAGGTGTACTCAGCTTGCCCCCCATCATTTCTCCGCCCATTGAAGAGAGCACATATTTGATGCTGCCAAGCCTCACATTTATCACACTGGACCCACTGCAAAAAAACATGGAACGCAATAGAAAAATTCAGAAAAATCTACAAAATGGGATGCAAAAAACAATAGAACTCTAATGAGTGGATAATCTAACCCATTCTTCAGTCTCTTCATCGTTTTTCTTTTTCTCAAGTTTTGCCTTCTGTATTGAAGTTCCTTCAGCGAGAATAGTGTCTCCTCGGGATTCATTATAACAGGGAATACAAAAATAATGCCGAGTTTCACCACCTCCGACAGTATAGTACATTGCATTTCTCTTGATTCGAGCACCACAAGGAGTACAATAAATAGGTGGTGGCTCAAATGTAAGCTTCTCCACCGCACATAACTGGCAGGAATTCTCACTCATCGTATACTCCATTGCCTGATTCTTTTCTGCTTTGGCTTTACTCTGCAGACACATGGAAATTAATAAAAAAGGTATTCATCTATGATCACATAGCTAGAGATTAATCTTTAACAAATAACCACGGTAAAAGCGATCCAACAAAGAGTAAATATGAATATATATGATAAAACTTGCTTCTCTGTAAATTTTAGTAAATAAAATTGCAAACCTGGCCAACCCACTGACGAAGACCACGGATATGTTCTCTCACTTGTTCGGGAGTGAACAATTCAGTTAAAGAAACACCTTTTATCTTAGGTTTTCCAGATTTTGATGCACGTTCAGGAGTGTCCACGATATCTTCTTTCTTCAGCTCAAGCGTTTTCTCCGTTTTGATGTTTTCTTGCTTTGGCGACTCACCAGATAAACCATGTTTACCTAGTTCACTAACAAGCCTAGGCTTGGGAACATTTTCAACACCTTCTTTTTTCATTTCTTTAATGCTGAATCCTGTTTGAACAGAAATATCAGGAATTTCTGCTTTAACTTCCACGGTCTCTGTCTTCAATGGCTTATGATCCTTTCTTTCTGCATCCTGAGATAAATCTGCCTCTGTAGTAGAAACAATGGGGAGTTTACAAATTTCGGTCTCAGGGACCACAGGTTGAAAAGATTGCTCCACCTTCAATCGCTTAACTGAAGGTTGCAAATTATCTAAAGTATCAGCACAACGAGGGGCACCAGAAACCGCTCCAGCATTAGCGCATAGTGGATCATCTGATGCTACAGATCTATTCACTGAACTCACTGCACTGCTTTCGCATTTTAAACGGGCCAGGGCACGCACATTAGCTTGTTGCTGATAGGTCTTCACAGGCACACAGACTGGGCACCGAGGATCCTTGCAGTTTTTATAGTGGCCAATCAATGCTTTTGTGTGACGACAACGAGGATACGGACACTGTGGTTCAGAACAATTGTCCATGTGACTCCATAGTCTCTGAACGGTTACACAATTTCGATCTTGGCACTTCCCTCCTGGTGGTTTACAACTCCGTGCATGACGTAGAAACAGGAGCCATCTCTGTTGATTTCGGAACTTTGGATCGTGACTTACGTTTCCATATTTATATGTGGTACCAACAGAATTTTGCATATTATGGGATTCTGATATAGTAGAAGTATGATTTTGACCAATAACAGGCCCATCAGTCAAATTATTAGGTTGAGCTTCATCCATTCTGGTAATTCTTTGGTGGAAATCCTGCTGAATGTGCTTTTCACTTGAGATAGCATTAGACATTTGAGTATTTTCCTGAGAATGGGAAGGCCACTGACCTCGTGGGTTGGATTCTGATTTTACTCCAACAGCAAGATTGCTGAAACTGTTGATAGAATCAGTACCTATACTCTGCGGGTGCAGCATTTTCTGAATCTGTTGGCTATTTTGAGGAAGTGATGTGCATATATCACTCTGACTTTTGACTGGAAGAGGCTGAGCGTCTGCATGACAGTCTTCTCCAGAGTTCTGATACTGATTCTGGAGCTGAGAAAGCTGGAATTGTTCAGATGCTTGGGAGTGCATAGCTTGACTCTGGATCTCCATTCCAGGTTCATGTTTCACATTTGTAATCATGTCAGATTCCACCTGAGCTTTTCCCAAGCCATCATTGTTTATTAATCTATGTTGCTGCAGGGTCTGCTGCTTCAATTTCCTTTGATTGAGAAATTGCTGCTGCTGCTGTTGAATCTGATTTGGTTGTTGCTGGAATCGATTAGGCGGTTGCTGAAATTTTTGTTGATTTGACTGCAGATAATAAGGAAAGAAGATTGAAACTCTGAATACTCAGTGTGATAAGTGTTTAACTTTTCTCCAGTGTTGCATGCAAAGTGAAGTTGACTGATTGCTCACCTGAGAAGAACTAACTCTGGACGCAGATTGAAAAGCTGCTGTATTGATATTCTGAGCATTTTTCGGAGTCCCAACTGATGTTATAGCTCCATGGACGGGGTCAGGATTTGTTGTGCTATAACCTTCCCCTGAAAAATGAAACACACTTTCAATATTCTGACGGGTATGTACTACTCATTCACAATCGCCAAACTAAAATGACCATACATGTGAAATAGAATAATCAGGACAGAACAAAAAAAACAGAGGCAAGTTACCCTGCTGCAGCTTTTTGGATGCATTGGTGTATGATGAACCTGAGTCTACACTTTTTTCGTTCATTCCAACACCACCATTTACAGAGCTATTGGCCACACCAGATGGCTTTGGTTGCATATCAGGTCTAAGGCCAGCAGCTATTTGGTTGGACAGCATGTGACTATTTTGACCACCAGTATGCTGCCTTTGTTGCTGCTGTTGAGACTGAGGTGCCATTGTGGGCTCAGCAGAAAATCCACCACTGTTGTTATTAGTACTACTGTTAACGAACCCAGGTGTAGGAATCATCTGGCCAGTACTTCTTTGAGCACCCATGGATGCCATTTTCCCTCCAGAACCAAGAGAAAAGTTTCTTGGTGAATGCTGGTATCCATTAGACATATTACCTGAAAACAAGTTTTAAGGTGTCAGAGAAACATGAGAAGAAAAATCTCCCGGAAAAATTATTTATGATCACATTAATAAAAGAACCTCCATGAATGCCACCAGCAATTGGAGGGTTTCCAGTGTTCACGGCTGTGCTTGTGATGTTGGTGTTGCCAACTATTGTAGCATCAACAGAGGTTGTAACCATCAAATTGGGATTACCTGCAGTGTGTGAGAATCCTGGAGTAGGTATCATCGTTCCAACCGAAGAAGAATTAGCATGTCGCTGATTGTAGTTATTCATATGTCTGCCTTTTATTAGGCTTGTAATCCGAGTTTCAAGGGTTGATCGGTTCGTGTAATCATCCTGTAGTACATGTTGGAAAGTGTCACAAACGAAAAGAAAGAATTAAAGTGAGGATGAGTGAAAGAGCTGGAACTTGAGGTAACAAGTCAAAAAGCATCAGCCAATCTAGTTGGAAATCCCCAGTAAACCAAATCCTAAATGCTAGGTACCAGTCAATTATTTTTCCTCTATTTGGTATACCTTTGAACTAGCCATCTTAAAAAGCCCCTCTTCTAAACGTCTAGCAACATCCATATACTTTGCCTTTGATGCAGCATCAGCTGGAGATGGTTGCCGTTGCTGTAACATGTTAAATCTGGAAAGAATGGAAGGAATATCAAGAAGGATCAGTGTGAAATAGTTCCCTATGCAATAACCATCAAGAAATCTCAAGAAGTAGAACACTAAAATCTCGGTTCTTAAGAAAAGAAGCAGATAAGCCATAATGCAGCCACAGCAGTAAATACGTTTGATCATTCCCAGCCCACATTGAGACAGCATTAACTCAATTTATATAACACAGCGGCAACTAACAGACAAGCAGTGCAAGATGAAGGAAACAAATTCACAACTCATAGACATGCTATAGCTGAAATTGAAAGGCTTACACATGAGTTTGCATGTACTGTCGAAGTTTCATAATATCATGATCCATGGCACCAACGATGTTTCGTGAAGGCCCTACAGCAGTAGCAGCAGCGGGAGCAGTAGAAGCAGCACCAGTAGCAGCAACTGAATTCTGCATTTGAGAGTTGCCATTATTCTGCGGCATTGTCCCTTGGTTTGGAGGAACCTGCCCCGATACTTGTCCCGACATTTGCGCCTGAACATTCATGTTATCTCTTAAATTTCCGTCGCCTTGTCCTAATTCTTCTTGCAACTAGCACTAACAGGCACTGCATAACTCTTCTGTCCCCGAGAATCCAGATGATCGAAAGTTCATCTCCTGCTCTTAATTTGATTCTTCAGATGATCTCCGTGTCGCAGCTCTTATCACCTTACAATAATCACTTTACTCATTATAAAACTCAAGTGACATGATTTTATCTCAATTCAATTGAACACTATGATTCAAAGCCCAATAGCTAAAACCAACAAAATTGTAACAATTACGAAAAGCAGAAAACAAGAGGAGCAATAGCCCGAGTATATTTATATATATATATAAAAAGAAAAACCTAGAAAATTCAATCCAACCTTGAAATTGATTCACGAAGAAGAAAACTTGAGCCGCAAAGAGCAGAACCCAGCAAACAGTATCACCCCCACAAAGGTCACAAACACAAAAACGTTACTAGAGATTACGATGATCGAATCTTCGAAAACCAGTAGAACGTTGCAATAAAAAATCACTCAACAGCAGATATCGCACGTGTGAACTCACACAAGCCAGGCGGAAAAAAATTACCAAGGAGAAAATTTAGGATCAAACAAGCAAAGTGGACACAAATCCCAGGTAGAGCGAAAACCTAGAAGACGAGGATAAAAATGAATTGTCGACAAATTGTTTTGAGTTTTCCGCAGTCGGAGTTTCTTCGAATTGAGGGATTTTTCGGGCGCTCACTCGATTTGGGGATTTTGATTTTTTTTTTCTTTTCCTTTTTAGGGATTTTTCGTTTTGATTTTGTTACTATTAAAAAAAAAAAAAAAAAAAGAGTATAACAAAAGACACATTAAATTACACTTACCTTATGTTTCTTATGTCTGAATACAAATCATCTAAGGAACCTGTCAAAAGTTAAACCAAGGGGGAAAATCGAAAAGCCAACGAGAGATAGATGCGGTTCTGTCCGTCCGATCATATTTTCTAATAATTTAAATCTTCACCCTTGTAGTTTCGCTCTTTCTTAATTTCAGTATTCACAACTTATACTACTAGCTACCTTATATTTTTCTGTTCCGATTTACCAAAAGAGTAGTAACAAAACTATTCAAATTCAAAACCATAACAGGAAACAAATCATAGCTTGTGTTTACCATTGGTAAGTACGATCTTACAAGTATCAAATACAGTAACACTGCAACAGCTACGATTTTATTGTTCAAATATATGATATCAGCTTTCCTTGTAACATAAGCAATGAAGACGTTTCCAAACAAGTCGGAAAAGACCTTTCTGATAAATCTTCAACGCTCCTCAAGGCTCACCGACTTCGGATTCTCTCTTCTCACTGTCCTGCTGGAACATCACAAAGTTTTAGAATGTGTAGTATAAGGAATGTAAGCCTCTTTAGTTAGTCTAAGCTCATGAATCATGATTAAATATACAATGTACAATATGTACCATAGTGGGTGCAGCAGAGACTCCTAGACCTGGAGTAGCTGTTATCACTGTTTCAAGAGACTCCTGGACCTGGAGTAGCCTGCCATTTGCTAATAAGCTTGTCAAGCGAGATTCAAGGGTTGACTGGTTCAAGTACTCCTCCTGTAAGTTGTTACAGTTAGAAAGAAGACATAAAGCAAATTAACAAGCTGGATTCAGTGACAAAGCATCAACCAATCTTGTTTAATTAGTTGGAAACTCCTGATCAGTAAATCAAATCCCAAATGCTAATTACTACTAATCAAGTAAACAAATATCTGATATACCTTTGTCACAGCCATTTTGTAAAGTTGCTCCTCTAAGCGTTTAGCAATATCTAAACACTTGGCCTTTGAGTTTGATGCATCATCAGTCGGAAAGGGATTTTGCTTCTCTAGCTTGATGAAGCTGAAAAGATTGTAAGATCAGTTAGAAACGATTCCCGGCCCCCATGAGGTTAGCCATCAAGGAACTCTCCAAGGGTTAAGGTAAACATGTACGCAGAGGCAAATTATTAGTCAACGATAACAAGTGACATGACTTGAATTTAAATAAGTAAACATTTCAGCAGCAGAAACACTTCAAGATGTTATTGGTGTCGTAAGAAACAAATCAGATATATGCAGGAATACAAAACCAGAAAAAAAAAGGCCTACTTTTTCCAGCCATGTTAAATCAGTCCATAATACAAGCTTACAGCAGTAGTAACTAACCGAACAAATTAAAAAGAGTGAAAGAGGAACGAGTGAAAATGAAGGCTTACATAAGGTCCCGCATGCTACGGCGAATTGGCAAAACACCATTGTCCATGAGAGAAATTGTGTTATGTGAAAGCCCTATAGCCACACGCCAACGCCAAACATCATCAGTAGCAACTATATAAGCATATTGAGAAGAAAGAAAAAAAAAGAATATTGAGATATATATATCCCCAGATAAAACCTAGACTTCCATATATCTAACCTTCAAATTGATACTCAAATGAAAGAAACAATCTTCCACCACAAAGATCATATCCCAGAAAGAAAGATTCTACCTAACGAGATCACAAAGACGAAGACGTTACCTTTGATTACCATGATTGATTCTTCCAACCACAGAAGAAAGGTGCAGTAAAGTTGGATTAGAAATCAAATCCTAAATCCCTGTGGTTTAATAACCTCGCAACTCGGAATGGCAATCCGATTTGGGTGTGATTACGATTTGAGTGTGGGAGCGATACGAACGATGCTATTAGTTAGAGATTATTTATGGAGATGTGTTTCGGGTGCCATGTGGCTAAGTTATATTGTATTGTAAATGACAATGCAATTTGAATAGTTTATGAAAATTACCAAATTAACCTTTTATTACAATATACTTTTTGAAATTTCCGTTTTCTTTTACGTTACTTTAATTTATAATATATAACTAATAATTTTCCATTTTATTCCATAATATCCGCCAAAAATACAATTTCAGGTTTTTCACAAAAATACGATTTTCTGTTTTCCTGCCAGAAACGCGATTCCCGTTTTATCTCCAAAAAACATGATTTTTTACCATTAATGTGATTTTCCGTTTTCTCGCCAATAACGTAATCCGCCAAAAACTTGATTTACCGTTTTTCCACAAAAATGTGATTTCTATTATTTTGTTGAATTTTAATCATATTATTTTGTTGATTTTTTCTTTTAAATTATTAAATATTAAAATATGGTTAATTATGTATAGTAAAAATAATTGAAGGTATATTGGTAAATATACACATACATAAAACTTGACGCACATAAACGTAGCGTTTAAATTCTGTTTGTTTGTGTGGTGCGATTAGAATAAACCTAAAATGTAAAGAATTAATCACTTGCCAAAACCATTTGTATCATACCTCACTCAAATAATTTTATCAGGTAACATGCGATTAGAGTCATCACACCGCACCCGAATCGGAATGTCATTCGGGACCAGAGAATAAAACTAAAATGAAATGAGCAATCTCTCTCGTAAAGAGATGATGATGATGAAACCGACAAGTAATTGAAAGAAGAGGAGAAATGCTAATTTTAGACGAAATTCCTAATCGGGTAAGTTCCTGAGCTGGACCTTCGAATTAGGGGGTTTCGTGTCATTTAGAGAGTCTCGGATTCGGAGTTATCAATTATGCATGTTCGTGCCAGTCTCATAATTTACGACTTTACCTTGGCAGTTAGATATTTACATTTTTGACCAACTCATCGTTTCTCTTTATATACTAGCATTTCTTTGTTTGCCGACCGACACACACTGTGTAACAAACAATACCACTGAATCATTCAGTACTTCATTTCCCAAGTTCTTGGTATTGTATAAACCATAATGTACGGTCCAGCTCAAACCGGAAACTAAACCAAATTCGGTTTTACCATCGGTAATGAACTTACAAGCAATACAGATAACAGTGCAAAATCTGAAGCATTATTTATTTGTGTAAACAGAAGCAACCGAAAAAGTTTTTCTGAAGAACTAGGCAAATGCCATTCGGATTATATCTTCAGCGGTAGAGGCTCTCCGACCTCAGATTCTCTGCAATCTCTGTCTCCCACCTATCTCCATTCTCAAGAAGTTTCTCTTTGTCATACAGAAGTTCCTGCACACCAAAATTAATCAGAATGCCATTTATGGAATCATCATTATTTATTTTGGGATCTCTTTATGTCTCTATCAAGTGTTTATGCAGACCTCATGTGTCTCAGTTGCAAACTCAAAGTTTGGTCCTTCAACAATTGCATCAACAGGGCAAGCTTCTTGGCAGAAACCACAGTATATGCACTTTGTCATGTCGATATCATACCTGTACAGTTCCAAATCATCATTACACAATGGCATGTATAGAACCAGAGAGACAAGACAGCCGCAAATAGAAAAGCATATGATTAATAAATGGGAACTTAAGGGGTGACCTAGTGGTTCTGCGGCTCCCATCTTCCCGCTCCTCTGCCTCTATTGTGATTGCTTGAGCTGGACATACCTGATGAAATAAAGACCAGTACCCATCAAAAATCAGAATTTAGGTAATCTTGTGTGAAGCTATAGTACGAATTCTTAAGTATAGGCATTTTAAAACTCACAGCTTCACATAGTTTGCAGGCAATGCAGCGTTCTTCCCCAGTTGGATACCTGCGAAGAGCGTGCTCACCGCGGAAGCGAGGGCTCAATGGACCCTTCTCAAAAGGGTAATTGATCTGCACACAAGATAAAAGTTCAGAATTGAAAATATGTTTCTTTGAACCTAATTACTAAAGTCTGGTAAGAGTGCAACTCACTGTAACTTTTGGATCAAAGAAGTACTTGAGGGTCAGCGACAAACCCCTGACCATTTCAGTGAGAAATAAGGTGTTTATGCTCCGTTCAAAGACTGAAAGTAAGAAATATCAGGAATCGCTTACACTAGTAGATGGAAGTAACTATAACGGAAAGCTAAGAGAGTAAAAAGGTAGAAAAGTGTCTGGATCAAATAGCTTACCAGTACTCCAGTCCTTGGAGATCTCTTTAGCAAGCTGCTCAGCTTCTTGATCATCTACATGTTACAAGAGGCAAAGCGTTAGTAACCTAAATGCCTGAAAAGTCATAGCCTAATTAACCAAGAAAACCCAAACAGCAGCAAGAAAGTATACCTTTGTTGCTTCCATAAGATATAGCACGAGACTGTAGCCTACAGAGATGAGATCCCTGTAAAGCTTGCCCTGAAATAGCCTATCAACGAAGACAATGCAGATGTTAGATATTAGAATCCGAGAAGAATTCCATAACATACCCACCAAGTGAGGCTAAATAAAGTAAAAGCCAACTACCACGGCGCTTTAAAGTACTTGTATACGCAGCGACTGGGTGAGATAAGAACATTTTGGCTACACATTCTACATTAAAGGAAGAGTAAAGATCTATAGGAATAATTAAGCCTCCACGAGAGTGAATTATTATAATTTCCCCTCTCAGCTACATGTAGAATCAACTCTAACAACAAACTAAATCCCTAAATCTTAAAATTCGTATTTCACATTGAGGACGACAAAAAGTAGGTCAAAATTTAACAGATTCACGCCAGTTCCTACTGATGTCCATTTCCAGATTCTACAAACGCTAAGAAAAAAAAAGAAATAGATGCAGAATGGAACAAATATCAACTACGAAGCAGAAATGCCGCATTTCTAGGAAAACAATCGCCATAAATTGAAAAAAAAAAAAAAAAAAGAGCTAACGAGATTCATACGAGATGTCGAGCTCGGAGAGCATTGAACGACCTACGAGCCAGTAACGAAGCCATCGATACAACTCCAAATATCAAATTTGGGTCTTTCTTCTTCGCAGTGCCTGGTGAGAGAGAATAAATTCGATTAACTGAAACGCCTAATCAGAGAAGATACGAATTTAACAAGAGATAAACCAACAAAAAAAAACATCAGAAACCTCTAAATACGATACTCAAAGATGTAAATCTTCTGCAGGAACCCAGAAAACGTTCGATCTCACATGAACATTGACACGATGCCTCTTTTGCTATATAAAAAGTGATTCACGGTCATTGGAATAAGACGGGCAACGCAATTCGAGTCAGCTAATAACCGGGATATCAACCTTAAATCAAACCGGTTTTTATTTGGTATGAGAGCCATTTCCATTAAACAAACCGAGTTCTGAAGACGTGGACTAAACTAGACCATTACCCAAAAGTGTTCTGTGGTCTCTAACCAGACCAAAAATTCAGATCGAAACCGATTAACGGAGACCGAGATTGCTCAATTAACCGGGAAAACCAAAAGAATACAAAAAAATTTAGAGATACAAACAGTTTAGCTGATTGGGAAAGGAACTAACGGGGAAACTTATTTAACAAAAAATTGAAGGGAAAATTAGTTGAACTGTATATAGATGTTATGGTGCTATGTAGAAACTGTTGCCACAGTTAATGTGGGTTTGCATTAGAGGATTCCATCTATCAAATACAATCCGACCCCCTCGACCAATTCTTCCTTGAAATCGAGCTCTTCCGCTTCTTGAATCCACTGGAGGGATGATTCCCGCAGCAGCCAGTTTATCGGGGACCAGCGGTTTTGTGAACAGCATTACTGGCTCATCAGGGTTCTACAGAGAAACAAACAACAGTGGACGTAATTATCTTATGATCCTAAGTGATTCTATTACAACTAACAACAAAGATGGTGTAACGAATTACCAATTTGTGGAGCCATCCAAGCCTTCTTGCCTCTTGCTTTATGCTCCCAGCTTGAGCTCGAGCAAGATTTGAGTGGTTGAAACGAGGATGAGGGGTAAAGGAAGGCCTTGAGAGTGTTTGGGTGGTGGTTGGGTCATCCGAGTCCATGAATTCATCTTCGCTTGAGCCAAATCTGTAAGACGTCGAGAGTGGCAACCCAGACAGAGCCAAACTATCTTCTAAGAGTTCAGTTTCGTGCTGAATCCAGATCAAAATCCCAAAAAAATAAAATGAATCAGGGAGGAGATCGAAATGCACAATTCTGCCAGGTTACAAAAGAACACGCAATACAAATTTTAGAGAAGTACCTTATATTTAAGTTGGATTCTCTGAAGGCTAACCTCACTTGCCATGAAATCTCTCTTTTTTTCTTCTCTCTATAAAGGTAACATGTTTTTAAGTTAATACTTATGGAGCATGCAGGTTTCTCTTAAGATAAAGAATAAAATTACACTCAAGTCGCAAATATAAACACAATAATGAATACCTTGATTAGAGCTTCTAGAATGGTCTTTGCTTGGTCAAGATTGCGCCTGACCTGGTAATAACAAATCCCAGAACAGAAGAACATATTTGAGAATTCAAAGGATTATAAGAAGTTGAACACAGATTCAGGTCTTCCCTTACTTGTCGAAGCTTTTCAAATGACTGCGCACTGTTTTCTCTCCGCTGCATCTGAAGGTCAACTCTTGTCGTTATGGTGCATTTTCCACAAATGTAAGATAAGGAAATTGATAAACTAAAGACAGCAAGAGAGCCTACCCTTCTTGTGTGTAGTCTATGAGCTTTCTCCCGTGGCCTAAACACATTGTACGGATTTGTATCATTGACTGGTGGTGGAGGCTGTTCCAAACAAAAAGGACCCCAAGATTAGCTCATTTCTTCAGTAAATTTCTGAATAAATTCATTTCTTCCACATGTACGATCGAGACCAGTCCAAATGACGAATACCTGTAAACGCCGCAAAATAGGCTTCTGCCATCTTTCACGCTAAGAGAACACAAAACTAAACTAGGTTAGTTAGTTTTATAGGCCTATGCCCAAAGAGCCATTCATAGCTTCTCATAAAAAAAATCAACTATCATCAAACTACAAAACAATTATATCCAAAAAACTCTCAGTGGTTGATCTCAAACCTTATTTTTCCAATAACCGTATATAGCCTGGAAAACTCCATATTTGATGGGTAAAGATTGCAGCGCCTGTTAAAAATTGGAAATCGCACAATAGAACAATTTTAATATAAGCCTCTAAGTAAATTATGTACCAGAAGTATAAAAGATATGGCACACTCCCCGAAAGAAATATAGATGCAGAAGAACACACTCCTCCTAGAGGATGCAATATAGTTATTAATACTAGATCTATGCTCCTTCTACTGTCTAGGCAGTGGGGAAAAGTATAATGACATAATTCGGAAAGCAGTCCCCGAAGAAAGATGATTTACTACGATGAGAACTAGTTGATCAAGCATCATCATTTTTTTCTCAGTTTAACTTCCATAATCAAATATCAATAAAAAGTAATGAAGAAAAGAAATTAAGTGTATACCTCAATAGCAGCATCAAACTGCAAAAGCACTGGAACTGGCAAACCAAGGGTAGGAGTAATAACTCCAGCTCTTTCCCGCGCCTTATGATCCAATACCTCTAGTTTAAAAATAATAATCTCAAGCCTGTACCAAAAGTAATTTAGCAAGATTACGGGAAGAAGATTTTGTTTTAGAACAAAGAGAAAAGTGGAGCACTGTCTCAACTTGATATTAGGGGCATATCAGATATAACTAATTCTTCTTTCAGTTTCCACTTGATCATATGGTTTTTGCACTATAGCAAAATCCAATCATTTTTAAACCCAAAATAAATAGAAGGCACTAAAAAAGAGAGACGAATAATTTAGAGTCCAGAGCAATCTATCTACCACACAACAAACTCATAGAAATCTGGATAATCCAATCTATATCAATACTTAATATGTAAAGCATATAGGGTACAAGGCAGCAGAAAAAAAAGAAAAGATATATGGGAATTTGTAAACCAAAAAAAAAACAAGTAACAAAATCTAAATAAGTGGTTGGATACTTTACATTTCAGGTGAGAGAATCGTCGTCTCTTGATTAAACTCATAAAGCCAGTCATCATCGTCATTGTCAAGATCATACTCCACAAACTCTCCAAGCTCAGCCCGGGCTGCAAAACAGATTATCTTCATTCTCCAAGCTAGAAGATAGCAATCCCGAAAATGAATTTAAGAGATTGCGGTTACCCCCTCTTGCGCGTAAATATGAAGCAGGCTGATTAAAAGTCCTAGAGTAGTCCCTTTCATATGTATCCACAACAAGATACTGAGGTGTTGGTATCTCTGGAATCAGTTTCTTGGTAGGCACTTGGGGCTGCACCTGATAGTGCGAAAACAAGAAACTTAAAATCATCACTCTACAACTTCACATCCAAACAGATACACAGAAGATAACCTTGAGAAATAGTACCTCATTGTCAACCTCTACAGACGATATACGCAGCAACTGAGAATTTCTAGTAATGGAAGAAGGATTCTCTTCATCTTCAAAGTCTTTAAAGGACTTCAAAATTGGAAGCTTCTTGTGTATGTCCAATGGACGGGGCCGAAAAGATAGCCTACTCATTTCACTACCTTCCTCCTCTCTCTACTATACACTACAATTATATTTCTATACAGCAGCTATTTGAGTACGAAGACCTCATCAACCCTTTCGTCTAATTGCTCCTAGAACCAGGAAGAACGTAGAATCTGCAAATGGAAAGAAACAACAGAGACCGCACAGATTCAAAATCCTAGAACCCTAAACTCCTCAATGTGACAGTTTCAGTGTAACATTGGGAAAAAGAAACGAATGAGAGACGTAACACTTACAAGACGAGTTTTCTAGGGTTTTTATTTTATTTTACTCTTCTGGGCGAATCGTTCCGGCAAATCAAAAATGGGGGTTCAGGTTCTCTTTTCCGAGCTTACCCAGAAACCGAGAATAACTTTGAAATTTTTGAGGAGAGAAAAGCTTTATAAATGTCCCAGAGGGAATTGCAAATCTCTCACTCGAGCATCCACAATTGAAGTAGTGATGTAGTGAAAATCTCGAATTAACACTTTAACAGACAAGACAAACAGTTGAACCGAGGAGGGAAATTTTTTGGTAATAAAACCAGCTCCGGTTAGATATTAGAACAATGCAACAACAAAATATTCATTCTTAGCTTAATATTTGGTATTTTTTTATTTAATTTAAATGGTAATTGATGATTTATGCTAAGATCTGGATCTTAATTAAGATTTAAAATTGTGGCTAAGATACCACATGAGTGAAAGCTTTTTTTGTGTGTTATGTGTTCTTATTCAGAAATTTATCTAACTAAAACGTTTTTTCCAGAAATTTAATTGTAATAAACTATCTTGTTACATAGTTTTGGATTTCTCAGAGAGAAACTCTAACATCACAGTACATAGATGCATAGATTCTATTTACAGAGAAGGGATCCAAAAATGATTTTCAAAGAGTTTGTTTCATGCTTCCACGTCCCTTTCTTCTTCATTGGCACCTTTTAAAGTTGTTTCCTCTTTAGACTATTCGTTAATGTCTTCGCTCATTTCTCATTGTCGGAAAGAACAAGCCATGAAATCCCTTGCTGTTAATTGTGTTGTTCTCAGGTGGGTCAAGTCGATGTTCGTCGTGATTGTTTCTTGGTTAACTTGAAAGGACTCCAGCTTTTTCTGCGTTTTGATGTCTCACAGAAGAGGCCAGAAGCTAGAGCTTGTTGAAGCCATAACTCAAACTCTTCTTCATCCTCATCCATCATCTCCACATCAAGATCCCAAGGGAACCTGCTCGAGTTTGATCTCTGGGTTGCCTTTTCTAAACCAACCATGTTCACATGGAAACTTGGTCTATGTGTGTTTGGTCTACAAGCCATTCCCTGCATTAAAAATAAAGTATACATATATCAAGTGACAGAAAAGTTTTAAAATGGTTATCTTGATCTCTTGCGGCGAAAATAAACCTTTGGACTCTCGAGCTGCCTTAGTCTAACTAATTCTGAACAGAGAGTTACCGGTAATGAATGAAAACACCAACCTGACAAATAGCCCATTCTGAGACATCAAAGACTTTGCCCTCCGCGCAAACGAAAGCTCGTGGTATTTCAATCTACAACACATGATATAAAACGATTAATTTTTTTATTACCAATAAAAAAACTCGGACGAAAAAACTGAAAAGCCTAACCTTATGTGCTTTCTCGAATACCAGAGTCCCTTTGTGTTCAACCCATCCATCACCATCTTTGGCTTGATGATATTGACCACACTCCTATAACAGATTGAACACATTAAATGTTCTGCAGAGGAATTTGAACTCATAATGCCTGGCAAGGAGAAGTGTGAGTTGGCTAACCTGACACCATCTCGCCTTTGCCTTACTCCTGTTGGTACATACCCAAATGTGTGAATTCCCACATTTCGTACAGTGTATGCGCCTTGACTCTTCTGATCGATAGTCGGGAACATTCTAAAGAAATGAGAAAATAAGTTCATCATTTTTTATTAGAAAACAATAGAACAACACAGCACGCACAAAATCTCACAGATTACTTCAACTAACCTGATGAGAAGCAGCATGCGAGGTCTGACATACACTCCTGGTCCTAGATTCTTCTTTCTTTAACTGCTCATCGTAATCTCTCCTTTTAACAGAATCAGAAAGAACCTGCAAATGCAACCTTCCATGTCTGGGTATTCAAAATAGCAAATAAATAGAGCAAAATCTAAGCTGAAAACTACTAGCCGCGGATCCATTTTTTCAGGACTAACCTCATAAGCACTTTGAAGTTTCTTGAATGAGTCACTTGCCAAAGGACTTCCCATATTCTTATCCGGATGAACCAGCATTGCCTATGTAAAGTAAAACGCAGCAGATAAAATTAGAATAATTTAATTCATTAGCACAGGTAGCTCAGAAGCCAAGAAACTGACCTTCTTTCTATACTCTTTCTTAAGCAATGCGGCATCAATCTTTTTATACCGAGGGATTCCCAATGCTTCATAGTGATTCAAACTATGAAGTATTCTTTTCATCTCATCAGCTGAATCTGTTTCTATTTTAACTACCTTAACACTAGAAATTTCCTTCATGTTATTAACAACAGTTGATGGTGATGCTGGCTTAGTGGACGACTTATCTTCATGTACCTTTTTCTCTGGTTCTTCAACAGGAACAGAAGAATACTCAAACTCTCCTGGAAACTCTTCCTCTATTACAGTTTCAGGTTTCTTTGGCTCCTCCGCTTGTGTTTTTTCACTAACACTATCACACCATTGAAGAAGCCGAATAAATATATCGTTGGACAAGAATGCAAGATTCATCGAGAGAATAACTCCAGGCCATCCAAGTCTGGCTTTGACACAGTACATTGCGTACATCGTCGCCATAAGAACCACCACCCGCGCATGATTCAATGAGAACAAATAACCTGATTCAAACAACAAGAGACATTGAGACTATATGAAAGATCAATAAGCTTTTCAAATATGGGAAAGAGACAAACATAGCAATAAGATAACTATGATATCATAATAAGACGTTCTGGAAAAGAAAAATTGACACTTGCCTCCAACTATAAATAATAGTCCGGTGATCCAAAAATTAGCGTACATCCACAAAATCAAAATTCCAAATAGTCCTACAATGAAGATCCCAGGAGTGCGACCTAAGTACACTACAACAGCACCAGCAGCTGCCTGCGATGGTAAAGCAAATATAGGTAAGACTCAACTCAATTATGCATAACTCAATAGTCAATACCACCTGCAACCAAATCTCCAAGTTAAATGTAATTTTAACGAAAGTTTCAAAAACCTATTGCGGGATTAACTTCTAAGAACAATATATCGCCTTTCTGTGTTTCGTCTCCAAGATAGTTTTCAATATTACTTCTCCCTCATAAAACCAAGGCCAAATACGAGATCAGCTCACTGCTCAGGTGCTCACTCTCGCCACACCCAGAAATCTACACTAGTTAAAGATATAGAACTCGGAATCAAGAATTCAAAGGGGTCTAGAGGCCTTACCATACCGAGCAGAACATAAACCAAGCAAGATATTGAAGTCAAGCTAAGGAAGCAACTCCACATTATCAGGAGCAAAGCAGCTGAACCAAATTTAGCACTGGACTGGAAACCCCTCAAAATGCAGTCTTTCCAGTAAAGAAACGATAAACTAAGTAAACCTAATAGTTTCCCACATCCACTGCACACTAGTGGCCAATGACGCTCTGCCAAAGCTTCTGTCTTTTCCCCAAAACATTGAGTTGCAGCACAAACCCATGAGCACAAATGTTTCTGAGACTGCAACCATACCAAACCCTGCTTAACCAATCCTATATCCTCCATAACTTGATAAAATAATGAAACCCTAAATTCTTCCTCCAAAAGCTCAGGTAAACTGATAGCAGTAAGAACAACGGTACTAAAGGGCCTGGAATTTAGAGAAATCTAGCTTCTCAGTCATTGCTTTGATCTGTTAATCAGATCACTAGCAAGTACGAAAGGCTCATAGCTTATTCAACTGGTCTTCCCAAGAGATAGAAGATACAACAAAACATTATTAGCAGAAGCAAGGAGAGATATAAAGACAGCAAATCCGGCTTTAAGCTTATTCGTTCAACGCATATATCCCTTCACATACAAGTTTCCCCAGCAAAGAAGCGACATACAAAAAAAGAAGTAATCTTCGGAATATCCGAGAATCTTTCTTCCCCTCTTTTCAGCAACCAATTCTCACAAAACCCTAAATTACCCAACAACAGCAATCCAGTTTAGTACATAGCCTCAACTCAACTCAGATCCGAGAAACATAATCAATAGCAGTATTTTCCGGCGGAACAACGCAGACCCAGAAAACAAAAATAGCTTCTTTAGAGCATTTCACCGAGTCGGTTTGTAGAGTAGAGAGTAGAGAGAGAGAGTGAAGAAAAAGGAAGAAGAAGCTAACACGAGCTTTAGTTTAAAGTAAATTGGTTACAGTAAAGATAAGCTCGGGAAACATGAAACCCCAAAAAGAGCTCATGAAAAAGAAAAGAAGAAACTTTTAAAAGATTCAGAAAAGTTGCTCGAGGAGAGAGAGTGAAAGGAGAACACAGTAGCGTATAGAGACAGAGATTAGAGACGAAGGCAACACTAAAATATTTAACCTTTACTTGTTACATCTTTAGCGAATCATCTCATCCTTTTGGAACTGTTGTATTAAGTTATCGTATTACCGGAATTTTGTGGGTCCTACGACTTAACAGAACCAGATTTCTTGAACCGTTAAACCAAACCGAAGAGATGGGAATCACTCGGACCGGGATCGGTTTAATCTCCTGGTTTAAGCTCATTCAAAGGGCTCATTAAAAACAGAGAAACCGATACAACTTCAATCTAATGTATATGGATATATACAAAACATACATACACTCAAATCTCTGTTTGCAGCTGAAGACGACTTGAAACAAAAGCGAGCCAGAGACCGCCTTTTCTGCAGTCGTTTTCAGCTCAAAAATCTAACAGAAAACCTCTGTTTGAAACCAAAGAAAAAGAAGAGAGATGCAGAAACATCAAACTCTTTTTCCCATTTACATCTCAAAAACAGAAAACAAAGATAACTTAGAAAAAAGGATTTATTGTTTTTTCTTTCAGATAGTACTGCTGAATGTATTACCAGCATTAGCTGATGAAGCACCTGATGAGTAAGTATTTGAGTGATCTCTAGACGAGGCATTAGAAGACGAAGAAGGGTTTGTGTAGCTGTGTCTGTTCACTTCCTCTGGCTTTGTTGCCACCGGTCCTCTCACTTTCAAATCCATGAAATCAGATATCAGACCTGGTCTGGATATTTTCCTGTAGCCTATATCTTTCTCCCCTGTTAGATACTTCACAACTGTCGACATACTTGGTCTTAGCTTAGGACTGTCTTGTGTGCACAAAAGACCTATTTTTAGGTACCTACAAGCTTCCTCTGCGTCGAAGATTCCATTTAGACCTGAATCAACCAGATCCACGAGCTCATTCCTCTCATAAAGCTCCCAAGCCTGTTGAAATGTAAAAAGAGGTTATCTTTCCAAAACACGAGCTCAAAGACAGGTAGGACTGATCATGAGGATTCGTCTGGCTAAACACATGGTAAATGCAAGAATGACCAATCCTGGTGAGTAGCAAGACTTACTCTTTCCAGAAGATATTGATATTCTGTGGGTAATCGGGTGTTTTTGTTACTTCTTCCACTGACTATCTCCATCAGAAGGACTCCAAAGCTGTATATATCCGCTTTACGCGTCAACTGTCCCCTAACTGCATACTCTGGTGCTAAATAACCACTGCCCAACAATAGTTGTGAACACATGTTAAGACCTGTAATTTTCAGTGGGGAATAAGTAGAAAAGGAAGTAAGAAACATATGGAGCTCACATTGTACCAGCGACACGAGTGCTGACATGAGTCATGTTAGGTGGCATAAGCCTAGCAAGTCCAAAATCAGAGATCTTGGGAGACAGATATTTGTCGAGTAGAATGTTGCTTGCTTTGATATCTCTATGAATTATGTGTGGCCGTACTTCTTCATGAAGAAAGGCAAGACCTTTAGCAACACCCACGCAAATATTGGCCCGGCTACTCCAGTCGAACTGTATTCCACTCCGAGTGTAGCCGCCAGCTGAAAAACTTTCATTTGGTTAGGAATAACATTACAAAGCCAAGAGAAGCTGACACTTACAAAGTAAGAAACTAAGTGAATCACCTAGAAGCGTCTTATCAAGACTATTGTTCTCAAGGAAATTGTAAACAAGAATCCTGTGATTCCCCTCCACGCAACATCCATACAACTCAACCAAATTCTCATGCTGTATTTTTGATATCACATTGATCTCAGTCAAGAATTCTTTGACACCTTGTTTTGACTCAGCCGAGAGGACTTTGATAGCAGCGAGCTTTCCATCTTTAAGACGTCCCTATACATCGAAATTTGTTTCCAAAAAGATTCAAAAAGATGAAGAGAGAATGTGGGAAAAGAAGATGAAGCAACTGAGTAATGTCAAGTACCTTGTACACAGAACCAAAACCTCCTTCTCCAATTTTATTTCCAGCACTGAAATCATCTGTGGCCTGACGTATCTCTCTATATTTGTATATCTTCACGTTGTCAATCGCTGCTATTTCTGTTTGCATATTAAGTTAGAGAAACCCAGCAACAGGAGTGAGTATATATAACATTCCATACTTGAAAAAATAAAGCAGAAATCAGTAGTCATCGTATTTTAAGAAGTCCTAGATCATGTATCTGTACCTCCATCAACTTCTGCAGCTTCTTTAGTCCGACATGAGAACCAGAGGCAACCCATCGATGTAAGACAGACCTGTGACCAGTTTCCGACATTAAATCAGAAGCAATACAGAAATTTGACTTGTAAGTAGTAAAAGCAACCACAGATCGATTTCAATAACAACTCAAATCCTCAATAGAATCTATGTCCAAGTCAGAAACCCTAGTGGTGGGGGACCAAATAATCTCAAAAATTAAAAAGCTGTGAACTTGGAGTTTGGGGTTTGTCAAAATTTAGAACAAAAGCTAGAAACAGACGCAGACAACGGAAAATCACCGAGAATAAAGTAAGAGAAACCCACCTGAGAAAATTCCTAAATTTGTAACAGAGAGAGAGAGAGTAAAAGATTCAGAAATCGTAGGTTGGAAAGTTGCTACTTGGCTAGAGTTGGTATAAAAAGGCTGTGTCTTTTACGCGATGAAGAGAGTCATTGTCTCTCTCTCTCTCTCTATATCTGAGGCTCGCCGTGTGTGTAGATCAGATTAAGGATTTGTTGAAATGGAAGACTAAGACGAATGAATAATAAGGAAGACGGTCTTGTAATGGTGGCGGGTAAAAGTCAATGCCCCCCCCAGACGTAATCACACGTCAGCACTGAATACGTTGCTCCGACGACCAAAATCTACTCTTCTTTCTTTTCTTTTTTTCTTTTTTTTTCTGTGTATTGGTTCTTGATCTTCTTCGGATTTAAAGTGTTTCTCCGGTTCCTTTTAATTATTGACCTCTTCTTCATATTCAATTCTTAACTTTATGCTTCAGTCATGGCCTCATGAGCATAAATTCTTCCTTTTCTTTTGGGAATAAATAAATATTGTCTAGTTCATTATAGATAGAGGCATAGAGCTAATTATTTGTCTTTTTGATTATAAAATCTAAATAAATGTTTTCAACATGTATTCGTCAAAAAAGAAAAAAATCCAGCATCTTTTGTCAAAAAAGATCCAACATGATTATGTTTTTGTACTATTTATATATTTTCTAATACACATGTTCAAATATAGTTTCCTTAACACGATTCAATGCGAATAAGTTTATTGACATAATATTATTTCTTTAATAACTAATTTTTCAAATGATTAAAGTAGGTACAACAAAGATTGTGAAATTATTGGAACTATGAACACTAATCTTATGATTTTTTTTGGTCATAAATATAAACTACTATAATCTTTTGGTGAATTAGTGATGTTGCAAATAAACAAAAATCCTGAAACTCTCTACTTGATATTTAAAACCTTTAATCAATGCGTAAGGTTCAATTAAACACGTTATAATGTGAAAACGTGTTCTACAAATACAAAACGGAATCGCTTATTAAAATATACATTTGAAGTTTCAATAAAATATAGCGTTAGATGATGAAATACATAAACAATGACAATACCAAGTTACCAACAGCCAAAGGGGTCAAAAAGTCAAAGGAAACCTTATCACAATTTCTTGTTTCGTTACGAACGAGACGGCAAATATGGGACTGTGTTCACACGACGAAATGATGGGGACCGGTATGTAATGAAACCAAACCTATATGAGTTCTCTCTTCACTGCTCAGTGGAGTTTAATAAAGGAACCAATATGTTTGTATATAAGAAAACTTCAGCGTCAATTCCAACAGAACCACATCTTCTCCAAAGTTTTTAAAAGGGATCAAAAGAGAGGTTGTTATATTATAGCTTTTAGGGGTCAAAGTCTTCTTGCAATAATGGCGACATTCCTAGGTGAGATGGTGGGATCAAATATGGGAAGCATCACAACTTTAATGGAGTCACCTTTTTCTTGGAGAAACATTAGTCTATCAAGCAAGATTAATGTCTCAAGCACTGGTCCTAATGCAGCTCGGATAGACCAGTAAGGCCCTATCAGTTCCTGCATTTTATTTTATTTTCTTTAGTTTGACAACACCAAAGACAAGCATCCATTAATTTACGAGAATCAGAGACACAAGAGAATGCGAGAGAGTGGATGAATAGCTTACAGTGAATGCATTTGCTTCATTCCATGTGGCATTCAGGTCGAGATCTTGAGGATGTTCTAGATTCAGACGGGAAAATGCTGACAGGCAAAACTTCTCAAAGGAAGAAAACGTGTCCGAATTCGAGCTTGTCTGCCTCATGGGGTTCTTGTCATTGGTGTCTGCAGTGAACTATAGATATAAGCAAAGTGTCTTGGTCTCACTTATTATAAAATCTAATCCAACGGTCTCCTGACCTTTCATCGTTTTACCAATTGTTGCTGGAGTTTCAAGGGCTTTTCTTTGCTGTTGACGACGGAATGCCTTCCCTTGGCGCCCAATGGATGGACTCGTCGCCAAAACCTCTGGATAATGTTTAGAGAGAACCTTCAAAGAGTAATTAGGTTGTTACTTGTCAGAGATGATCACTATAAATTCTGATTCGTTTTACAAAAAGTCTATTCACAAATAGAACCAAACCTATATTACCATCTGGAAAGCAGCACGAAAAGAATGCAACTCGAAATTCTGCAGACCAGCATCTTCTCCTAAGCTGCTCCACCTTTCAGCACTCTGAGAAACACACAAGTAATTTCTAGAAAAAATTAGATTACAGAGAAGAAAGAAACATTATGATATTAAACAACAATGCTGCAACATCTGTAACAAATAAAATAATGGACAATACCTGACAAGCCAGATCACGCGCATCTTTGCCAAGCGAAAAGTTCAAGAATTTGAGACCAGCACTCAGAGGAAAACCATATTTAGAACAAGAATCCTCACTACTTTTTTCAGATAATAAGTTGTAACAGCAGCCAATGCTCACTACTGCTTTTATTTCTTCACACTCCACAAAAGTCCTGACGAAGTCAAGTTAGCACACTGTTTCAGCGTTTAGGGACAATCAGGACCAAACTAATAATGTGTTCAGAAGATAACAGAAATTACGGATGAAACAATTACAACAACCATCCAAACTAACCTTAACATTGTAACAGATAGATCCCCACATGCATGAAGGCCAGCAAGAACAAGTGAACAAGATCTGTTTGCATCATTTGATGATTGTGATCTCCGTGGACCTTCATTCAACGCACTTGCATTTGAATCCAAGTCATTTTTCTCCACAGGAACATCAGTCAAGGCTTTCAACATCTCTGTGGATAATACACGGCATGTAATCGTCACTGGAACATCAGGGCACTTGTTTCCTAAACTAACAAAGAAGAGGTTAAGTAGCATCAACAAGTCTAAGAGACCAGAACTGTGCATCGAGAATATAACAAACAATGGGCGACTCTTGAAGCGGAAAATAAAAATCTGCTACTTTATTAAATAAAATTATAATCTGCAAATCCTTACCCAGATTTACGCATCTGTGCTGCAAAATGCTTTCTGATACGTGCTGCGCGTGCGTCTGTAACCTTTCCATGATGAGAAGAAGAATCAATTGCAACCACTGAGTGTTTATATTGGAACGAAAGAACCTGCGCTAGATAACCCTGAAATAATATTTTAAACAAGTGTTACAAGTGAACAACATATTTTGCAATGATGTTATTTAACTCAATTAATTATGACTATAAACTAGAAAGTTACAAAAAATTGGATATAAAGCAAAAATCAGAAAGAGGGTTTACCAATGCAGAAGAGAAAACAAAAGTAACTGCACAATTTATGATAAAGAGAGCTCAAACATGAGAAAGGAACTAAAGATACCTGACCAGAGCCGACATCAACAACAGTAGGAGCTCCAACACTGTTAACGACTGAGCTAACAACAGAGGAAAGAACTTCAACCTGCATGAACCTTAATAAGTAACTTACAGATCCATTCAAACAAAGTGGCCAGTAGAAGTTACATGAAGATACATTTAACAGATACAGTGATACACTCACGATTAAACAAAAACATAGGTTTGCTCCAACGAAAATTTCTAATAGTGCTTATGAGCTTTTGGTGATCATCACGGCTTAAATTTTCTATTTTACATGTGAAGTGAAAAATGACTTTGCCAGGTTCTTGGTAAAACGATCTGAACATTTACAGAACATTGATCTTCTCTTTACAATTCAAGTTACTTGGATTGGGGTTAGTCACCAAATCATGCTACTGAAGGTCTATACTCAAAGAAGACATACTACTGAAAGACATGAAATTTTCACCTAGGAAATTGGTAATAACGATGTACCTCATGTTTTTTCTTTAGATTCATGCCCTGTGAAAGAACAGTGCTAAGCGGTACCATATCCACATCTGCAAGTATCTGCCAATAAAACAATTAAGCTTGATGTAGTCTAGACCGACTCTAGAATCTGAAATACCACCAGATACAGCAGAAACAGGTAAAGATACATTCCACCATTCAGTATTCATTCACACACTCCCATAGGAAATTAATATGGAGAAACTCCTGCCGCATTACAATTCAATGAATGTAAAAATGGAGAGTAAAGAATACAATACCGCCTGAAAATTCGCTTGCTCTCTAGGAAACGATAGAGACCTCAACGTGTGAATAAATTCCTTGAGTGAAGCAGGCCAGTGATCCTGATAAACAAATCCAATATCACAAAATTATCCAGATGCATACCATTGTTCACCTAAACTAAAACTCTTCACCATAAACCCAGATAGACCTGTTTCTTTTACTTTATCTCAGGTAAAAACACATCAAGCATAATAAAAAATGTACCCTTTTAATCAAATGTCTCAATCATGAAGACAAGATCAGAACTTTACCTGGACACCACCGGAGGGAATAAGAAGAACATTCTCAGGCTTCTCATCCTTTAAGCAACTCATCCATTGCTCGTCAACAGCTTCCCATTGTTTATCCTGAAAACAAAACCCATCAATCAACTCACACAACCCAGCTGGAAGATAAATTTGAAATTTTGTTTCCGATGACCTGACTATACCTTAAAGAAATTGACAACGTGAGCATTGATTAGGAAAGAAAAAGGTTGAAGGAAATCGATGATGGCGGTGATCCACTCTAGGGTTTCGGCCCTCGTGTTGCAAGAATACTTGCTGCTCTTCATCTTCCCGGTGACCTGAGTAGCAACGATTCTAGTTCCCGCCGCCAAACGCCGACCAAACAATACAACGCTTCACTAAGCTGTGAAAATGTTTTCTAAAAATACGTCGTACTTTTAAAATTTATTCAATTTGCCCCCACTTTTATTTTTTGGGCGACAAGTACACCCATTTATCACCTGACCCAGACTTCAAGATACTTTAAGTGCGATGGAAGGTTTTGGATTCATGTCACCACTATCAGATGTATGACAGAATGCTTCTGTTACTACCAAACACATCCTCTCATTCTCTTGCTAACACTCTTGCTCACCAAATGCAGTTATAATAGAGTAAGTTTAATAAACCATGTTTATGTAGAAGAAAACATAAGACTTAAGAGTATACTTATAAACTAAACATCTGGTTACATAGATCCAATATATATAAAAAATGACAATTTAACTTAACATTTTGATACACCCAAATTTTGGTTACTTGTTGTTTTCTTTTTGTTGTTGTGCTTCTTCTACATCTTCATCTTCATCTTCACAGGTTTCATAGTCATCAACATCTACAATGACTTGAGGGAAGCCTCTGAATTCGCTACACATGTCATGGGCAAATATGATAACATAAAAGGTCCTATCGCAGTCGTAGATGAAGTTCAAATACTTGCCATCTTCGAGATTGTTGTCTTTAACAAAATTCTCCCAACCAAGTGTTAGAAACACGTTCTCTCCTATTTTCTTCATTCTGACCGTCCAAGATCTCCCACTATAGTCTAGGAGGTCTACCGTAATTGGCAATGGATCTGGGAAGTATTCGTTAAATCCCAATGGAATCGCCTAGATCAAACATTAAAAAACCAACTCTTAGGAAGGAGACAAGAGCAGCGACGACAGATATAAGAGTCTTAATTAATGTGTTAGCACTACCAAATAAATATTTGGCTTCAGCTGCTAGAGATACACACATATAACTTCAGTTTAAATCTTGCAATTCCTACTCAGAAGGCAAATGTAAGCTTTATTAACTTGTATTTTAGCTAATTTGAAGCTAAAGAAAGAGATTAAAGGACCTAAGTTCTTACCACCATGTAGATTAACTAAAACAGTTCACCCTAAAACCATAAGTGTTCAAAATCAGAAACATTTACACACATCTTTTTTAGACAGGATCAAAAGGGAGAAAGAGATTCTCACAAATGATTTAGATGACTTCTGCGAGATGAAAACCTTCATAAATCGAACCTCACTACTAGTGCCAGCCATGGAAAGGAAAAGAGTGAGAGAGAGAGACCAAATGTAGCTAACGATCAAAGTCCAGAGATTAATGAGAAAGAAACAAACAGAAGTGAGATTTAAGGGAAAAGAGGGAGAGAGAGAGAGAGAGAGCTTAAATGGTGGTGACTAATCAATTTTCTCTTGTCAGGCTTGACCAGACCACACTGCGTTTCTACATCAATGAGGATCCAGTAAACTTTTATTAATATTGGGCCAAAAGATAAAACCCAATAGCCCAGTAACGAGCCTCAAGCTAAAAACTCAAAAACCCTAGAGTTTTCCACTATATATATAATCTCAGAAACTTTAGATGCAACCAAGCACAACTTATCGAAATAGCTTCCGCTCTAGAAATTTCAATGTTCGTTTTTTTTTTATCAAAAGTTCTTTTCTTTGGTTTTCGGTCTATTAGAGTGTCGTGATTTTCCTTAGTTTGAACTTCGATTTTTTGTTATGTAACTGTGGAAATAAGAAAGGAGAGAGCGATGATAATGATGATGAAAGATGATTCCATAGAACAATCCAACTCTGACCATCTTTGATGATCTTTCCATCATGCACTACCATCTGAATCTCGCTCTCCCCTTTAATTCATTTTCCATGAAATCGTTTTTTTTTATGAATACGTCAATTTATTCGCTTATATTTTGATTTACTGGATCCTTAGTTCTTCTGCCTCAGATTGAATTTTTAGTCCTTTTTCTCTTGATTATTTATCACAGATCAAACTCCATGAACTATGATTGATTGCCTGCAACAGCAAAATCTTGATTGAAGAAAAAGAAAGAACCACTCAGAATTAATAATTATCCTCTTGGACAAAATTAATCTAAAAGATGCTTCAAAATAATAGGAAAAAGAAAAACTCTAATTGTACAAAAATTGGAATTAGGGATCCTTGAGAATAAATAACATATTTCATCATATTTCTCTGGATCATGTTCGTCGATATAAGAACGTTGCGGCTGATACTCTTTCTGCTTATGCAAGCTCTATTGATACTATGTTTCTTCTGTTTGATACCATGCCTTCATGGCTATCACACTGTTTGTAATACCTTTTCATTAATATAAGTCAGATGTTAAAAAAAAAAAATAATAACTTTTGGTGAATGGTATCATTCTAGATTAATACAATTACGAGAAATTTAAGTTCAGACGTCCGACAAATGTGAGATTTGAGTAAATGAATATTAGGAAAGTTAATTTGGGATTTGACGTCAGAGATAAGAACAGGTGAACTTATTTGGGCCTAATTATTTGTCCGTTGACCAAATTTGTACTTAGTCAAAGGCCCAATAAGTACAAAGATAACTTCTTCCACTAGGGCCGAACGGCTGCTTTCTTTAATATTTATCCAATTAATTTTCTTTTAAAGTTTCTTTATAACGGCTATCTAGTCTGTTTCTCTGAAAAGCCTTTTAAGGATCAGACGTGTCATCATCCTAGCGGTTCAATTGTATCACGTGCGATCCACCATTCCCGGCTACAAAAATTGAAAATTTTATTTGCTTAGTCCGACCCCAATCTTTTTAAAGAGATCAATTTCCTCCTAATGTTCCTTCATTTTCCATAATTTAATCCATAGAAACTTACTATATTCTATCCGAAGATGATAAATTACCCCTATATATATTTTTAAATAATCCAAAGGCTACATATGTTATGAAATTATATGAAGAACCATGGGGCTTTAAGATATATAATTAAGTTAATGGAAGACAATAAGTAGATCTTTGGAAAACTAGGGGATGTGATGGACAAATATTAAAGATTAGAGGGGTAAAGGCTTTAACAAAATATATCTCTGCGAAGATGGGAATCATTTTGTTTGCAGTAACGAGAAAAATATATTTTGGGCTTCTTTGTATTGTATAAATATATTTTGGGCTTCTTTGTATAAATAAATATATGTGAAGTAGGTAGGCAACTAGCCGTTACGATCTCTCTATCTCTCTATTTTAAAAACAATTCGAAAATTGGGATCTTAGACATTCATAATCTTGTAGATTCTTGATATTTTTCTTTCCTTTAACGAGCGAGAAAAGATCTGAGATTTGTTCAATAATATTTGGAGTATTCTAGTGATTTTCAATCAATCATGGCATCTTCTTCTCCTGCAAAGAACAAGATCTCTGTTTCTGCTTCTTCTCTACTGTCTTCCTCTTCTCCTTCAATGCCTTCCAGACCAAACCCTAAACCCAGAAACTCGGAGACCGGAGATCTGATGCGGCGCAGTTTTCGTGGCAACCCATTTCCTGCAGATTCGTCCCGGAGAAACTCTGTTGGTAACAGTCGTGTTGAGTTCGGAGATAAAGAGAACCACCAGAGCGACAAGGACCTAATCTCGAATGTGGTGGTCAACAAAGGTCCGAAAGGTTCCAAACATTTCATGTCACCAACCATTTCAGCCGTTTCTAAGATCAATCCGTCGCCGAGGAAGAAGATCTTGTCTGATAAAAACGAAATGTCTCGATCCTTTGACAAAACCCATCATCAGGTCAAGTCATCTGTCTCCTTTTCTGATGTCATAAGTATCATTGGGGAATATAAAGATCATGATGAGATTTGCATCGATGAAAAGAAGCACTTTGATATTAAGGAATCGTATGATACTACTGTCACTGATTTCGATGAGAATCTTGAGAACCAGAGCAATGATGGTTCAAGCTTCATGATCAGCCCTCTTCCACCTTCTGTTCCATACACATTCCCTGTGTTTGAGTCTCATGATGTGGATCCCTTGGTGGCTCCTTATGATCCAAAGAAGAATTACCTGTCACCGAGGCCCCAGTTTCTTCATTACAAGCCAAATCCAAGAATTGAGCATCATTTTGATGAGTGCAAGCAGCTAGTGGAGCTTTTCAGCTCTTCCTCTGACACTGATTTGTCAGCAGAGGAAAGCCAACAAGAGGAGGAAGTTGATTCTCCGGAAGGTGTAGTTTCTGTAGAAGTGGCAGAGGAAACTCAAGATGTGGGTGGTGAAGAGCGTTTGGAAGCACCAAAAAGTGATAAAGAAGAAGAGGAAGAAAAGGTATGTGAAAGCGTTGAAGAAGAAACTCACCAGGTTTCAAAAAGGTCTCGGGTCAAGATGTCAACGCTGCTTGGTTGGATTATGGTCGTTGGTGTGGCGTATGTGTTGCTGGTTTCTTCGGTGACATTAACTCAACCAAGCATCATTGAAAGTTCACCTTTCTATCAGTTTCAGATCCCAACACAAGTCACAAAGTCTGCAAGAGAGACCTATGAGCAAGTGAGTGTAAATCTGGTGATGTGGGTAGAATCATCTCTTGTGTATATTGATAAGCTGATCTCAAGTCTAAGAGAGGAAGAGGGCTACGGTCCTTTTCAGTTTCACAATTTGACAATTCTTTTAGAAGATAAAAAAAATTCTGATACTGTTTTCCAGACAAGTGGTGGTGAAGTCAGTGTTGATGAGTTCTTAGTTGATAGCAAAGACTGGAGCTTAGAAATGGATGGAGAAGAAGAGGAACTTGAAGAAGAACCGGAGAACAGTGGTGAAATCAGACTTGAAACTGTCTACGAAGAGGATGGTAATGAAGTCGAGCAGGAGAGTGAAGGAGGGGAGGTAAACTCAGAAATGATTTTTGAATTTGATGAGCAGGCTGAGATCAAGATAGCTACAGATACAGATACAGATACAGATACAGAGGTGAGTGGAGGTGAAAGATATTCAAAAACTCTTTCTGAAGAAGTAAATGGTGGCCAGGAAACTGATAATGTTGAAGGGCAGAGAGAATATGAAGAAAATGACCAGAAGAACAGCGAGGAAGGTCATGTATCTGAAACTGGATTTGCCCAAAATGATGAGAAGAACAGGGAAGAATATGAATCCAACTCACACCAGCTTGATGATGTGGAGTCTGCTACAATTAGTGGTCCTCAGCAAAAAGAAATAGAAGTAGCCAATGCAGAAACTGTAGCAGAAGAAGAAGGTGTGGGGGAAATTGTTGGAAACAGCATTGGTGTTTCAGAAGAAGCTACAGATGTAGAGCATGATGGTAATGACCTAGAAGAAGACAGTGGGTTTGGTGAGGTTGTTAATGATGCAGGTGCGGATGGAATTTTGTTAAGTAATCATAAGAAAGTGGTAGTCGTGTGTTCGACTGTGATGGTTATACTTGCAGCAGCAGCAGCTGGTTTCTTATTAGCCAAGAAGAAGACAAAACCAGTGAAGATGCAACGTGAAGATTGTGAGCCGACAACAATCTCTGCAACTGAAGTTGAGCATGTGCCAGTAGAGAATCTGATCAAAGAAAGGCTTTCTTCACTAAATTTCAAAGAAGAAGAAGAAGATGAAGTTGGTGATGTTAGAGAAAGAGAGGTATCATCATTCCCTTCTGAGATGAGCTTCAGTTTCAGTAAGAACAAATCATTACACAGCTGCAGCAACAACAGAGATGATCCTAAAGAATACCAAAGTGGTGGAGGAGGCAAGAAGAGTAATGATAGCGGAGAATCCATGGCTTCCTCGGCATCAGAATACTCCATAGGCTCTGTTTCATATGGGAGTTTCACAACATACGAGAGGATACAAAAGAGAAGTGGTCACAAAGAGAAAGAGATGATAACACCTGTGAGGCGTTCAAGCAGGATCAGGAACCATCAACATTCTGGACAATGAGTTAGAGAATTAGCTTTGATTCTATGAAGTACTGATTTGTAGGAAGCTTTTCCATCTCACTGAAGCTTAAGTAGTATGTTGTTGTCTTGGTAATCTTTGCTTTTAGGTTTGATTTTTCTCATTTAAGTTTCTGGCTTTATCATTTGTTTGAGATATTGTACTTCAGTGCTACTAGCCTACTACATATGATGAGCCTTTTCGTCTACTTTTAATGACATTGTTCATCTTTTCTGAATTCTCTTCTTAGTATATCGCAAAAAGATGGACAATTTTAAACACAACGTGAATGTTTGCACAGTTTATATAGGTATAGTTAACCTTGATGGTTTTGATGTGCTTCAGTGACCATATTCAAACTAAGATTCTTTATTTGTATTATCAACAAATTATGTGACAAGACAAAACATGAAGACAGCAAGAAACCTCATAGCAAAACAGTAATTACCTATTAAAAGACTCAAATCGCAAGCGAAAAAGATTTTGATTCCGAGTAAATATGCACACAAAGTAGTAAGTGATTGTCATCTTCACTGGCTCTTATAGGTAAAACAAGCTTTAGATCTTCTCTGTACACTCCAACTACATCTCTTAACTTAAGATCATCCATGTCGTCAAATATCAAAAATGAGAATCAATGAAACAAGAACCGTGCCCAAAAAAAAAAATAGACAATGGATAAAGGGATTTTTAAAAAAAATTTATGTTTTTTTTTACTTATTAAAAAAAGGGTCAAAGACATCTACAAATAGTAAAATAAAATTCCTTAATTCACCATCATACAAATCAAAACTTGCCACGTTATCATCTCGCTGATGATTTCGTATTTTTGTTAGTTGTAAATCCTTAGTCCGGGAAAAAAAGACCGCATAAAAAAAAAACAAAATTCACAGTCTCTCTTCTCTCGTCTAATCATCTTTTTTAGTTTATCCGCTAGGGTTTTGAAGCAAGGTTTCGCTTGTGCGTCGCGATTTTCTCGATATCGCCCATGGCGAAACCAAGTCGTGGCCGTCGTTCCCCTTCCTTGTCTGGCTCTTCCTCTCGGTCCAGTTCCAGATCTCGTTCCCGCTCGGGTTCGAGTCCCTCCAGGTCTCTTTCACGCTCCCGCTCCCGCTCTAGGTCGCTCTCTTCATCCTCATCTCCTTCCCGGAGCGTCAGTTCTGGGAGTCGCAGTCCTCCTCGCCGTGGAAAAAGGTTAGGGTTTCTTCCAAACTTTTCCAATTCGTCTCGTTTCTGCGCGTAATTTCGAATTTGATTTGGGTAATTTGGCTTTCATCCTTCTTGGTTCGTCATGGGAACAAGTTTGTGATAATGCTGGCTGTTGTATCTAACTAATTTATTTTTCTGGGTTATATCTAATCGTGACCTTGATGTTCTGATCCTGCAGTCCTGCTGGACCTGCTAGGCGGGGTCGCTCTCCTCCTCCACAATCTAAAGGAGCCTCTTCACCTTCTAAGTAATTCTCGAAACTCCTGACTCGACCCATATTCATGCTTTCATCAGATGCTTAATTTTGCTGTCTTTTACTATCTAATTATTGTTTCAGGAAAGCTGCTCCTACTCAAGAATCTCTTGTTCTCTATATTGGTTCTCTTAGTAGGAATGTGAACGAAGGCCATCTGAAAGAAATATTTGGTATGCTGATTGGTCTTTTGTTCTCTTCTAGCTCTGATTTTATTATACGATAGTACACCAGTGCTTTATGCCTCAACTTTGATCAGTAGTACACCAGTGCATTATGATTATTTATCTGGGATGACTAGCTTGGCTTGGCGAAAATTTAAGTCTTAACTCTATATGTTAGTAATGGCTTGTTTTTCAAATTTTTAGGCAACTTTGGTGAAGTTATACATGTGGAACTTGCGATGGATCGAGCTGTAAGTTGCTATGTATTTACTCTCTTTTGTTTTCTGGCATCACTTGTTAAGAAATTTGCTCATAATTCTTTTGCATTTTAATAGGTTAATCTTCCAAGGGGACATGCTTATGTTGAGTTTAAGGCAAGAGCTGATGCTGAGAAAGCGCAGCTGTTCATGGATGGTGTAAGTCTCTTCTCTGATATGAACTGCAATACGTCTGTACTTAACATATTTGCTGAGAAGATGTATGCCTACTTTTTTTTGTTTACTTAACGCAGGGCCAAATTGATGGAAATGTTGTTAAAGCAAGTTTCACTCTACCACCTCGTCAGAAAGTATCTTCACCCTCTAAACCTGTCTCAAGTGCACCAAAGAGAGATGCATCAAAATCTGATAATGCAGGTGCTGAAATTGAGAAAGATGGGACCAGGCGCCCAAGAGAGAGTAAGCTACATTTTAGATTTGCGTTATTTGTAATAGTTGTAGTCAATGATTTGTATTGTGTCACTGATTAAGATTAATATGTGCTTAGCATCTCCGCATCGGAAAACAGTACTCTCTCCAAGAAGGAGATCACCTTTACCTAGGAGAGGCGCATCACCTAGGCGATTGCCTGATTCTCCCCCGCGCCGGAGGCCTGGATCTCCTATCCGCCGTCGTGGTGATACACCACCTAGGCGCAGGCCAGCATCGCCATCTAGAGGCCGTTCTCCATCTTCTCCCCCTCCAAGACGATATAGATCTCCTCCAAGGTAAGCTGTGGCACCATATGATTTGTGTGATGTCTGAAGAATTGAGAGCTCACCTTTTATATATCAACAGGGGATCCCCAAGAAGAATCCGCGGCAGTCCTGTTCGAAGACGGTCTCCTCCTCCTCTAAGGCGAAGGTATGTGTTACCTGAATTAAGGCTGTAATAATTGAATGATAGGGAATTACAGCTTGATAGATGATAGTACTCTGTAAATTAGATCTGGAAAATGTGTCTGTTTGATATATATATTATATTGGTTGGGTTTCAGGTCACCTGCAAGGAGAGTTCGCAGTCCTCTCAGAAGATCTCCAATCCGCAGGCGTAGCCGGTCCCCAATTCGTAGACCTGGTCGTTCTCGTTCAAGGTCTATCTCACCCCGCAGGTATGTTTAATTCATTTAAAATTTAACTAAACTTATCTTCGGTGTCTCCTTGATTATACTTTGTTGCAGAGAAATAGCTAAGATAATAAATATAATGATATAAGATTCATAACATGTTCTTTGATCCTTGCATATATGAGTATACCTCAATATACTACTTTGTCATATCTTTATTCATGTAATTATATTGTTGATTGTAAACAGGGGACGAGGTCCAGCTGGTAGACGTGGGAGGTCATCGTCTTACTCCAGTTCACCAAGTCCCAGAAGGGTAAGGGATTGTTACAGATCCCTTTTATTTAGCTATAACTTTGTTGGTGCCTTGCTGAGTTATGTGTTTTAATTCCCTATTCTGTGTGCATTATAAAAACTTGCAGATTCCTAAGAAGGTTTCAAGAAGCCGCAGTCCTAGAAGGTAAACACTTTCTTTGTCTTAACACTAGTCATCCCCTCTTCTTTATCTGGAAACACCTTAGTCTGTAGCATGTGTCAGTAAAATAGCTCCACTGTTTTAAGATTAGGTTATGTGTATTAAGATTAGATTACTCCAGTTGGTGATAAAAAAGACTTACCATAAACACCTGAAACCTGCACCATTTTAAAACCTTGAGCTCTTACCTAGATAGCTCCGCACAATTGATACTGAGGCTTAGTATATGGTCAGATATTATCCATGGCCGCAAACAACACTTTTACTTATCTAAGATCTGATAGTTTAATGAGATTGTGATCACAGAAAGACATAAAATTGGTTTAAATAGTCTGTGTGATTTTGCTCTCAAGTCTAATCAGTTAAGAAAATATGTTGCTGTTTTGTAGACCACTAAGAGGAAAAAGAAGCAGCAGTAACAGCAGCAGCAGCAGTTCACTGCCACCACCGCCACCACCTCCACCTCGCAAAACTTGAGGTAATGAAAGTAGTAGAAACAAAAAAAAACAACTTTTGAGACTTCTTGTAGCTCCCTTGGAGAACTTTATCTTTATCGTCTCCCTCTTTTCTTATAACAGATAACGTGTTTACCAGAGACCAAATGAGAGTTGTGGCTTTTGTAGTGTTTGGATGTATTAATCTTCTTTTATGGATCTCCCATTAGATCAATGCAATGATATTATGACTTGTTCTTTTGACATTATTTCATAAGTATGTTCAATCTTTTGGAAGAATGGCTCTCCACTGTTGAAACAACGATAAAAAAAAAAAAAAAAAAAAAGTTACAGTATCATATATTCACATACACGGGGGGAAACGATTTCTAAAATTTACTAGTGAATAAACTACAAAGTCTATAATCCCATCTTAAGCTACATACCTAACATATTTGTTCTTTGACTGGACTCTGCATGCTGCAAGATGTTCTTCTGTACAAAGAGAACTGAGAATATAGTTAATTAACAGAAATATCACAAGGTAAAAACTTCACTTAACAGAAAGCACAGCCTCGATACCACTTAAAGAAAATAAAAATAGAGTTTTCAAGATCGTCAACTTCACAGTACATACCATTCAGAGAAACAACAATATTAAGGATTTACAACGTTAACAACTTTCAGGTACTTTGCAAGTGCCCATATGGGGAAGATGTTTCTGTAGGTAACATAGTTTAGAAAACAGTTCTTCATGAACACTCCTGTCATTTCCTGCTCAACAGAGCAAACAAACAATGTTTTAATAATCTAATCATTCACCATTCTCGAATCTAGTATGGAAAGGAAGTACCTGTTGGGGATAATCTCCGTTTTCTAATTGCGAATTGATGACTAGTTTCGCAGCACGGTGAAGAGGCACTGGATCTCTCTCAGCCTGTCCCGTGTGAATCAGACCCATCATTGCCCATGCGGTTTGCACAATGTTCGATCTTCCTCCTTCTAATGCTACGTATCTCTGCATATCAAAGATGATTTTACTAGTTTCAAGATTACGGACTTCAATCGTTGAAATTCATAACAGAGACATTACCTTTTCAGAGCAAGATTGATAGCTTTCTCCCCAACCTCCATTGTTGTTTTGTTTCATGAGAAGGAAACGAACACCTTCACGCATAGCCAAACAGTTGTCATACGTTTTACCAGCTACTGCTAAACCTTCAAGAGCAAACCATGTGGCATATGTGTAGCAAACTCCCCAACTTCCATACCTGTCAATTCAAGACAAACGCTTCTTACCTATCCTGAACATGCTTTCCCTTGGATATATATACACTCTTTAAGATACCCTACCAAGAACCATCTGCCTCTTGTCTGCTTTCTATAAATTGCAGCCCTTTCTCAATGGTCATATCGATCTCTCTGGTCCTGTGATCTGGGTATAGTTTCTTAAACATGACCAGTGCTTGGATCACCGATGATGTACATTCAACGTACTCATGCTCTACTACAACATCAGCCAGAATCTCTGTGGGGTTGAACAACTTGAATACATAGTTCAAAGGGTTCATTAGCTTGAGTGAGTCTTATTGAAAAAAAAACTCTCAAATTACGTAAAGTGAAACATTGAGTACTTACTTCTAACCATCCATATCCACGGACGGGCTCCCATGCACTCATACCTCCATTTTTACTCTAAAACAATGCAATGGTCACAAAAAATTGAGAGTTAGTATGTTATCATGTAAAAAATTACGAAAAGTAAAAAAATTCCTTTTCTGCTTTTGGTAAAAACATGTCTTATGGATTGTAGTCAAACCTGATAAGATAGGATGAAGTTCACAGCATCATATAAGTTCACAGTATCCATTTTTGGGCCAACAACGTCAGGTGGCATCATGGAAAGCAGTAGACAACACTATATATGAAACCAAAAAGATGTGAGAGTTAGTTTCTTTAGAAACAGCAGCTAAGTTGTTTTTCTTTAGAAACAGCAGCTAAGCAATCGATTGATTACTTTTAAGGCTTCAGCTGAACAATCTGAAACTTGCCATCCCTGATCTCGATCAGAAAAAGCCCATCCTCCTTTGGAAATGTGGCGGTGCATCTTGTTGAAATTTCCCGAAGGGTTTTCTCTAATCTTTGAAGTTATTTGATTTAGTAAAACCAGATTCAACTCAACTCTAAAGAGCACTATAATGCAGATTGCAGAGGATAAAAAGAACCTGAGATTTCTTAATGAAACCATGTGCTTTCATGAGCGCATTGGCGATTTCATTGGAGAGATTACAGGCAAGAAAAGCTTGAACCGTAAGTGTTGTATCCCATAGTTGACTTCCAAAACTCTGCATAAATATGTTTGGTACTCAAGGAATCTTTGGATAGCTAGTATGTATATATATATCCATAGAATATAAGGCTGTTCAACTCTATCAATACCTGCAATTTCATCCCATCTTCAGCAATCCATAAGAAATCCGGAATTCTAGCAAGATGTTTCTTGAAATATTCCCCGTTTGGATTTTCATTCCAGCAAGCAAGCATGCTCATTGCCTGTCAATTTCAACATATATTGTACAGTTCTTAATAAATCTTGTCATATATCATCTTATGGAATTATTGTTTAGAGGATAACTCAAGTGTTTCACCTTCCCAACGCATCCAGTGTTGATGTAACGGCTATTTTCATCTTCATAATGTATGTATTCCATCACTACCTCAAGAGCCTTTTCTCTCACAAGCTTGTTAAATGGCCAACGTGTAAGGACAGGCTCCATGAAAATGTGAAGACTGTTCCACACCAAATCTTGAATTGGAGGATGCGGATAATACATGTCTTCCTACAAGGAGTACAACAACATAAGATTAATGTTGCGAAAAATATCTACTACAAAGTTTAAGAGAAAATAAAGATGCGTTAAACTAAGCTACCTTAGCGCATAGACGGCGTGCTGTATTCCAATTGATATCTTCATAAGCTTGTAAGTAGAGTTCTTCCCGCAGTTTCAGAATAAGAGGTGTTATTGGACCAACAAATCTCTTCCCATAAAAGTAGGACATGAGCAAGTAAATTATCCGGCAAAGGCTTGTAGTTTTCCCTGTTATTATTGTTTTTCCTTACTTCAATCTTTGAAAGTATGTATATAATTACTCAAATAGAGTATCTTATCATAAAAGAAAAAGAAAAACCAAACCAAGATGTATTGGAAGAAAAGAAGGCAGCAGCCACATCTCTGGAGGCATCGGGTTGGTTCCACTCCAATCATAGACTCCAAGTATCTATACATACACACAAGTTGAATTAATTAATGACGAGTCTTAACATTTTCGAAATGTATCATTTTTTTTAGCATGAGTAACATGTTTGTATGAAAATCTTACTGAGAGCCAAGATTTTCCCCAAGAAGGAATGTATGTGACACCACCACGATCAAGAATCCATTTCCGAGCAAGCTTGCACGGCCCTGCATCTGAATCTTGTCCAAGTATACGTAAACATATGTAATTCAGTGCCGTGCAAAACATACAGCTCTTTCCCTCTATGTGAAATCCCCATCCACCATCTTCATTCTGAGAAGCAATTACAGAAAACACTGTTAAATAAAATAAATAAATAATTCACTATATACAGTTTATTCACAAAATAAAGGTAAACAGCACTGTACCTGGAAACAAAAGATATACCGAAGCATTTCTTTACGATGCTCTGCACTGAATATCACCTCAACATGTCCTGTGATATAGAAAGAGAACACCTGCGATAACCCACTTCAGTTTTAGGTAATTTTTCTAGATTACGGCATATATAATAATATGGCATGGTTAAAAAACTAACCATCATAGGAACGTAGAAGAGTGGACCGGCGATTTCAGCAGGCCAGTGGCCGTCGCTACTCTGCAAAGCCGAGAAATAATGAACGGATCTTCCTAACGCAATGGTCGCTGCTTCTTTGGTCATGAGTGTCTCAGCATCTTCGACCTTAACTGCTGGTATTACTTGATGGAAGCTTTTTTCCTTGAGAAACTTAAAAAATGTTTTGAGATTTTCAAATATATCAGCAAAATTTTCTATTTATACCTAGTAGTCAGTAAACGCGCGCGGGCCCTAATATGTATATGTAAGTAATAAATTGTAGTACAAGGAAAACATACTTGCATTCGCCATAAAAGATCGCTGGAAGCTCTAACCCGATGGCGATTATCATAGAAAGACTGACGCACCTCGTCTACGGCGACTCGCTCCTCTGAGGTGCCGGCATTTGGATCAAACTCCCATATTTGCCGACCGGCGAAGCTATTAGTGCTCATCAAATACGGATCATCGTCTTCTCCATTTCCTTCTCCGATCTTTAACTTCCACATTTTCCACTTAAAAAACAACAACACATAAAAGAAGAGGTTCTATTATCAATATGTCGATCAGAGAATCATAAGAATGATCATTAAGTTCATTCGACTTAATATCATCACTTTACGATGTTCTAAATATGTATAAGCATACTCGAAAGAGGACGTACGTGAAAGAGATGTTTACATAGAGTAGGAACGTCGATATGAAAAACTTTTGGATACCTTTTGGATTGAAGTATTAGCCATCTCTTAAACTAAGATTACTAAGAGAGGTCCCTTTACTAAGAGATGGCTAAATGATAATTTTCGAGTCCATATTTTGAACGTGGCTAAAATATAGCTCCATAATGATACTTTCCTTGTTAAATTATATTCTTTACGACCCCACTACTAAGATGTTGTCCGGCTCAATTATTAACCTTAAAAACACATGCATACACGACTCTTTTGTTTGTTATTTATCACTCATCCGGTGGTTTGTTTCCATTCATATAAGAAAGGATTTACAATTAGGAACTCTGTAGAGTAATCAACAGTTACTAATAAGTGTAGAGAACTTACATTATCTACCCATCCAACAAAAAGTGGTTCTAAGAAATATTAACCATTTAAGGGACAGTGAACCAATAAGCAGGGGAATGCACTCTCTAAGATTCAGAAAGTTCCTTTAACCAAAGGGGAAACTGTAAGATCGCACAAAAATCAACCTCAATCATCCTCGGTTTAACACAATCCACAATAACATTTCACTTTTGTTAGTTTTAACTTTTACAGTGATAGTTTTAACCTTTACTATTACCACTAAGTTTCTAACCTTTACAATTTTCTGGTACCGGTGAGGTGACTATACAATTTCTATCAAGGGGGGGGGGGGGGGGTGGGGCTCCGTCACACCCTGGGAGTAAATGACAAAACAATAATGCATCTTGCTTCAGAAATAGTAGGGACCAACTGAGCCGTGCGGCTAATTGTGTTATCTGACTTTATGGCTCATGAGATGATACATCATTGATTGGGCTTGACAAGGTTGTGTCGTTCAGAGAAACTTGCGTGTTCCAAGTAAAGCTGCAAGCAGAGTGGCTCGCTGTTCAAAGACTTGACAGGCGTTATAACTGGTGGCTTCTGCCACTGCTTTGTATCTGTTGGAATCCACTGCTCTCCATCTTTGCTTGAACCCACTTCCGGAAGTGACCTCAGGTAAGCTGTTACCTCCCATCTACAGCCTGTTTATGAGTGGGAAAGAATTAAAAAGCTTTTAAACATAGAAACATTGCTATAAGAACAAAGAGAAATTGGCGTATATGGGAAGTAAAGAGGGTGGAGCTAGAGATGTATTTACTTTGGGGAAGAGGTTTGACAAGAGATTTCGAGACAGAAAGCTTGATTAAAAAGGACTTAAGCGCGAACTCTAGTTGACCCTCTTCTACCGAAGCAGCGCAAGACGTGTTAATCATGAGCTTAAAGATAAACCTCTCTACAGAAACATTATCCTCACTAAAAAATACGACTGCTACTCTCTCAACAAGACCCTGTTTCATTGAGCAACAACAGACATTGTTCATGAGATAACTGGAATTGATTATACAAACAAAGGCAAATCATCCATGTGGGTTTTCATAAATTGTCGAAAAAAGGATCCTTTCATATTCGATTGCTGCATCAAGATTATAAAGTGCGATTCTTTCTTATGTGTGTAGGGGTGGGTTTATTGAATTGGTGAAGTTTGATTAGTGCATAAAAAATGCAGCAATTTCCACACATACATGTTACAGTTAATTAGTAAAAACAAAAAAAGAGAGGTTGATCAAACCAACTAAACCTTTTCAACAAAAGGAAGTAGCCCAGAAGCAGCAGAGTGAATATAGTCGCGTAGCTCAGGATGCCTTGCTCTTTGTACCACCATATTCATATATCTCCGCCTTTCAAATGCCGCTTCACAAACACAAGATGCTCAAATCAATCGCTTGGATATGCAAATCAAGAACCAATCAAAACACAATCCATTGCTCTTTACTCACCAGACGGGTACAAACCTTTGAGGGATACAATCATTGTGATGGCTACTTCCAAAAATTCTACCAGAGTACGAGCAACATCTCCTCCTGAATGATCCAAAATCTGAGAAGTCAGACTACTATGTATATAATGATTTTTTGAAATGAGCAAGTTACCTGACTGGTTCTCATCCTTCGGATTCATTAGCGTCTCACAATCTCAGAAACCTCCTCCGTTTAAAGAACGAATCCTAACTTCGCCGTCGATGGCGGCCTCGCCGTGAATCTGAAGTGCTTCTTTCGCCGTCAAGATAATTTAGCATGTGACGGACACGTGACTCTTTTAGTACCTTCAGAGGATTATTACACATGGGCTTTGTAACTCATGGGCCAAGTTAATTCCTTATCAGGCCTAATTTTGCGTTTTCATTTGTGTATCTCTTTCTCCTCCGCCTCATCGGAAAATTTTGCCCGGCGCATATCGACGGCATCTGGGAGAATCGGTAAGATCCGATTAAACGAACTTTCTGAGACTTTTTTTTCGTGTTCATTCTTGGATTTTGTATCTATTTTCCTATGGATCAGTAGAGTCTGACTATGATCACATGGTTTTGAGCTCGACTACTGCTAATGATCAACTCCATGATGAGATTTTAGGGACGATGGGGAAAAGAGGAAGGGCCTGTGTAGTGGTGCTTGGAGATCTTGGTCGAAGTCCTCGGATGCAATATCACGCTCTTTCTCTTGCTCGTCAGGTTCACTCTCATTTCATTTTGATGTTGTTTTTGAATCAAGTTCTAATATTCTCAGTTAATTCGATCTTGAGTTTTCTGTAAAACATTAGTTTATGTATTAATACACTGATTGTCACATAAAAATGGATCTGCAGGCATCATTTCAAGTGGACATTGTTTCATATGGAGGTAAGGATTCCTAACTCAGTGACAGTGTTCTTGTGAATCATAATGCATTGTTTCAATGTTTTATAATTCATGAATAGGTTCTATACCTCATGAAGCTGTTCTAAATCACCCATCAATCCACATCCATACAATGGTATGCTACGATCAAGCCTCTATATAAGCTACTAGTAAATCTGTAGATTTTTATGATCATCAGTTTCTTGTTTTTGGGGGTTTAAAACAGGCACAGCCTCGATTCCTACAGCTCTTGCCAAAGATACTTTATCCTGTAACTCTCTTGCTCAAGGCACTTATTCAGTTTACAATGCTTCTCTGGTTTCTTTTCGTAAAAGTACCAGCGCCTGACATTTTCTTGGTCCAGGTAAAGTCTTTATCGTTTTCACATTGAAATTTCCAGTAAATTCTATTTTCTTCAAAATCTGTAGAATTTACACGTTGTTATTTCTGCAGAATCCTCCTTCTGTTCCAACCCTAATTGCTGTTAAGTGGGCAAGCTCGTGGAGACGTGCAGCATTTGTTGTAGATTGGCATAATTTTGGATATACGTTGTTGGCATTGTCTTTAGGAAGAAACAATTTGCTTGTATCCTTATACCGCTGGTATGTATATCAACCAGCTTCTTCATAATTTCTTAAACTATCTCTGGAACATCTTTTTCTCTAAGGGTAATATGTGCATGATTTAGGTTTGAGAATTATTATGGAAAGATGGCAACGGGTTCGCTATGTGTGACAAAAGCAATGCAACATGAACTGGATCAGAATTGGGGAGTGAGGTGAGATGAAATTGCTCATAGATTGTTACCTGAAACATTTCTGAAGTAAAGAAAGTTATGTGATTCTGATTTCGTATGAAATAATGTTCTGAAACAGAGCCAAAGTTTTATATGATCAGCCTCCTGAGTTTTTCCGCCCTGCTTTGCTTGAAGAAAGGCACGAGGTTAGCTGGTTCTTTCTTCCTCTTTAGATTGCTTTTATCAACACTTTCACTCTTGGTGGAGAATACTGTTTCGAGGTTAATGATAATTTTTGTTACTTCTTAAGTTGTTTTGCCGAGTGAAGAAAGATCTTTGCCATCCAATTGGTGTCTATGATATCATCAGTGGAGGTATTCTCTTTGAATTAAAAAGTACATGTTCCCGTTCCTTTTCAGCTTCTCCATTCGTTCTGATGCAAAATCTTGTAATTCAAACTTAGAGTTGGAGAACCACGAGCTTCATGAAACCCTTTTTACTACCAAAAGTAATGCGGACATCTCGCTGAAGGAAAAAAGACCAGCTCTTGTTGTGAGCAGTACAAGCTGGTGAGGACAGCTCCTCGTTATTTGTTCACTTTCACTCTTGTGGCACCATCATTACGTGACATTGAACACTAGACATGAAATTTCAGGACCCCTGATGAAAATTTTGGTATCCTATTAGAAGCTGCAGTGATGTATGATCGGCGTGTTGCTGCAAGATCAGAAGGAAGTGATACAGCTGAAATCTCAGAAGAGCAACACCTTTATCCCAATTTGCTGTTCATCATTACAGGTAACAATGGTTTCGTTCTTGTTTAGAGCACAATAAAATTTTGCTGTTTTGTTTTTGATCATGAGCTATCTATACTGTCCATGAAGGTAAAGGACCTGAAAAAGAGATGTACGAGGGGAAAATCAAACGATTGAACCTCAAACATGTGGCATTCCGTACAATGTGGCTTGCAGCTGAAGATTACCCATTGCTTTTAGGTTCTGCAGATCTTGGTGTTTGCTTACACACTTCGTCATCAGGTTTAGACCTTCCCATGAAGGTAAGTCCATTATAATTAAGCCCATATGTGCTAATTAGGCAAAGACTTATAATTGACTTTCCATGGTGTCAACTTGCTGGCATTATAGGTTGTTGATATGTTTGGATGTGGCCTCCCAGTTTGCTCGGTTTCCTACTCATGGTAAATAATCAGTGACTTTCAATACTTCTACGAACAAAACCATAAATTTTAAACCTTAAAATTTTGTGAAGCATTCAAGAACTCGTCAAGGATGGGACGAACGGAATCTTGTTTTCATCTTCATCGGAATTAGCAGATCAGTTATTGGTTAGTAACTTTTCTTTCTTTTAAAGACACTTTTCACCTAGTCTGCACTAGTAATGTTCTTGTGTTCTGTTTTTCTGAACAGATTCTCTTCAAGGGTTTTCCCGGGAACTGTGATGCACTAGCGTCGCTTAAAGCAGGGGCGATGGAGACTGGTTCTTCGGGTCGATGGGCTACAGAGTGGGAAGATTGTGCAAAACCTTTGATTACTCAGGTCCCTGCAGCTCTGTCTCTATATCTCACACATAATTTTGTTGGGCTATTTCTCATTAAAATGTCTTGTCTGATCCATGCAGGTCGTCTCTCAAATAGCGGATTAATGGAAGAGAAGACTCTGGCGGGCATAGGAGTTTCTCGCAGCTTATTTTGTAGATTCAAACTTTATACACGATCATATATGTCACAGGATTGTCTCAAAATATTGACAAAAGTCTGATTTCAAAAAGACTTTATATGAATAGCAAATGATATCAAAATCTCAATTGACCAAAAGTAAGGCAAAGACAAAATTCGGAAAGGCTCAAAGCAGATTAAATAGTTCACGTATAAACATTGACAAAAACTGAAGAAACCTCTGATTCAGTCACTAAATCCAGACCAGCTAGCTTTTAAACAATAGACTCTGCCTTCTTGATATTTAAATCCATTTCCACCTTTTGTTTTTTTCCTAGTGCTTATGTGGTCTGAAACGAATCGTGCAATCAAATTTAAAACCTTGTGAAATTTAGCGACTCACTTTGCCTTTGTTTTAGATTTCTTGAGGAGACTGGAAGTTCTGAACTCAGCATCGTCTCTAATGAAGCTCCACCACAGAATAGTAAGGGGAATTGTGGCAGCATGCCAGATTGAGTGAGCATCAAAGTAGCCTTCATATGGAGGAAAATCATATATCTCTAGAAGCATGGCTAAGCCTCCAGCAATCACAACCACCCAAAGTTTCCAATTAGATGGATGGCTCGAGACAGCGGCCCATCTTGCCCATAGGAGAAGCTGAGAGACTCCCATTGCCACACACACAATCATGTTCCAACCTGTAAACACCATTCAAAACCAGTGAAATTCACCAAAATAAACATTGACTCGGTTTCAGATAGGGGAAAGAGCTTGCAGTGTACCATAGTCAAGTTTGTAGAAGTTGATGTATAGTATGTGGGTGGTTACAAAAGCTAGTATTGGAGCGGATACCATGACCCTTGCAGCCTCGACCCGAACATCAAAGGTTCTTAAGATGGCTACTATAAGTGAGAATCCAAGAACGGCTACTGCTGATGAGTAGTCCAACCTCTCTGTGAGGTCAACATCCCTGAGAACCATGGGGACAGATTACAAGAAAATCATATGATAGACGAAGCAGATAGTGTATGAAAAAGTAATGTGTAGATGAATTACCTGCTGTGGAAAACAGCACTCCAGAACCACGAGTTCATGGATAGGAGACCATAGAGATGCCACAGACCAACGTATTCATAGTAGGCTGTCCTATCTTGTTTCAGAGGCAATTTGTAGTACAGCGTAATGAAAAAGGAAAGCCAACCATGGAAATGCATCGCTAGGTTGAGCACAGAGAAAGCAACAGAAGCAGGCTCCTATCAAAGAACAAATGTAAGTCAAACAGCATGTTTGGAAACAACCAGAAATTTACAAGTGAAAAGAAATAAACAAACCTGAATCCCAAGTACACGTTTGAAGGGCCATTTACCATGGTATTTGACCGGGGCTTGACCAAGAGTTTCACGTTCTCTCTCTCTATTAACCATACACTGATAACGGCAATCACCTTGACAACCCAATTTTTTCCATTGTAAATACAGAGGTTCTTGGATGTACCATGGACCACCATTAGATGAAGAATTGCACTGAGGAAAGCACTCTTGTCCAACACAACCACTTATCTCACATCCTGAAACACATGTCCTAATACAAAATTGCCAGATCAAGTTAACAGTATAAACTTAACAGAACAAACAGGCTTATCTCGAACACAAACATTACAAGGCAAGCAAGATAAGTTTGTATATGAATAATATTAAGGAAAGTGGAGAATTTTTATAATACCTGTAAGTTAGATCGGCATCTCCAGCGCTAGCATTAGAAATACTGAAAAGGCAGGGAAACACTAGAAACAGGGCTGTCCAGAAGCGGACTGCCATCTGAGCAGAACAACAACTGCAAGTTGAAGTGAAAGCACTGAGTGATAACAATGCAATCATTGAAAAAAAAAAATACAAAAAAAAAAAGAGAGCTTAAGGGGAGCTACACACGAAAAAACTATAATCTCGATCGAAAACTATAAAACAGCCAGATTCCTTAATATCCTAATCCTGTTATTTCCAGATTCGATCAGGTTATCAAAAAAAAAGGAAAAAAACAAATTGAGAGAGTAAACCCAAGAGATGTACCAATTACGCAAGGACAACACAGACATGAGAATCGATCAGTTATAATCTAAAAAGCAAGAACAATAAATAGGAACCTAAGAGCAGATCAGATGGAATACCTCCGAGTCTGAGTCTTCGTCTTCGCAAACAAGCTTAAAAGCTTCAAAGAATATTATTATCGCTGTGAATGAATGAATAATGGAGAGGACGAAGGGGAAGAGTAAGAAGAGCACGTGTCTTTATTTATTTTAAACGAAAACGACGCTGTTTAGGATATTGTTTTTCTTTGTAATTATCGAGCCAGAAAAAAAAATGTAACAAAACCTTCTTATATGTAATATCTTATATCTCAAATATATTGGTACAAATACTCGGAAAAATGGGATTTTGCAGACATTTTATAAGTAAAGAGAGTTTTAGTGTAGTGCAAAAGATGATCCTTCCTATGCTTTCCTTCCAATGCTTTCTTGGAGCTTTTTTGATAGCTCCTCGTAGTGTCTTCGTTGCTGTGTGTTCACTGATGGTGACACTAAGGACAAGGCTTGCTCGAAATGAGTCATCTTGATGCTACACTTAGTTGAATCTGTAACATCATCATCATCATCTTCACTGGAGCATGTTATTTCCTCCACTGCCACGAATGTAGCCTTTTGCACCAAGTGAGCAAGATCAGCTCCGCTGAAACCTTCACATCTCATCTTTGCAATACCATCCAGATCAACACTAGCATCTATGGGCTTCTTCCTTGCTATAGCTTTAAGAATCGAAGCACGCTCATCCGCACTAGGGAGGGGTACATATAGTAGATTCCCAAACCTACCGGGTCTCAAGAAAGCTGGATCAATTACATCTGGCCTGTTTGTAGCTCCAATTACGTATACATTATGCCTATCTCCACCGTCCAGCTCAACAAGAAACTGGTTCAAAAGCCTTTCAACAACCCAAGCTCCTTCTTTGCCACGGCTTGTTGTCAAAGCATCCACCTCGTCAAAGAAGATTACACATGGTGAACATGTGCGGGCACGCTGAAACAATGTCCGAATAGCAAGCTCGCTTTCTCCAACGTATTTGTTTAGAAGTTCTGCACCCTTGATGTGCATGAAATTAGCTCCTGCCTCATTAGCAGCTGCCTTGGCAATCAATGTCTTACCACATCCCGGTGGTCCATAAAGCAAAAATCCTGTCTCTAAGCTTACCCCAAAAGCCTAAAAATACCCAAAGAGACACATTCAGACCTCAACTGTCAAGCAAGTATTCTTGTCTATATAACAGTTCCAAGTGACTTGCTAGTACCTTATAAATATCAGGCTTTTTGATAGGTCTAACTATATAACGGTTGAATTCAAGTCGTAGATGCTCAAGTCCACCAACATCATCCCACTTGACATCTGGCACGATAGAGAATCCTTCTCTTGTTAAAGATGCCTGAACTAGATTCACTGCTTCCTGGTAGATAACAAAGTCAGAAACCAAAGAACAAGAATTAAAAACAATTGAAGTACAGTAAAGTAGAATCATATCACGCCAGCAATTAACATACCTCGAAATCAGACATTTTCACAAAAAGTTTGTCCAACTCTTCTTCTGGCCAGGGATGCCTTAGCCAAGAATTATCATCTTCACCATTTGCAGACAGTTGAGATTTTCTTGTATCCAATATTCTCTTTGTGGTTATCCTGCCAGCCATGTTAGCAACGCCCTCCAAATCGGCTCCAACAAATCCAGGTGTTAAACGAGCTATTGTTTTCTTGTCAAAGGGTCCTTCTAGTCTAAGTTTTTGGGCTACAACCGATAGTATCTCAGCCCTTGCATCTTCATCTGGAACACTCAGAGCAATCTCACACTCGAATCGTCCACTTCTCCTCAAAGCAGGATCAAGAGCGTCAGGCCTATTTGTAGCTCCAATGACGAGAACAAATCCAGCACTAGACTCAGGACCTTTGTTACCAGGTCCATCCATACAAGTCAATAATTGCGTTACAATTCGCTTTTCCATCTCCCTTTGCTGATTTTCCCTCTTTGACCCAATTGCATCAATCTCATCGATAAACACAATGGAAGGGGCAGTCCGATATGCTTTAGAGAAGAGCTCTCTAATATTCTCTTCAGAAGCACCAGAGACGCCAGAAACCACATCCGTAGCTGAAATCTTATAAAACGGAACACCAATTTCATTGGCTATGGCATTGGCCAGCTTGGTCTTTCCACAGCCAGGTGGTCCATGAAAAAGAATCCCACTTGGTGGCTTAACTCCAATTCTCTTAAACGGTTCAGGATTGAGAATCGGAAACAAGACATTCATCTCCAGTTCATCCAACACTTTCTTTATACCACCGAAATCTTTAAAAGTAGGTCCTTTATCATCCACCACTTCCAAATCACCATTAGCAGTAGTCCCACTGACAGAAAGAGAGCCGTTAGCCTCCTTTCTCAGCCCCATTGTAGCCACCTTGCTTCTACCTTTGTTGCTCACAGTCTCAACTTCGACATTCTCAATTGGTTTCTTTGAAGAGCTATTCAACTTGGCATAATTATCTCGTAGACTGTCATTGATCAAATCAAACCGCGGACTCAGCTTCTCGCTGTAAACAGCGTCCTCGTCCTCCGAAGTGGAAGAAGAAGACGGAGAAGGCGAAACTTTCTTCCTCTTAGTAGTAGCAACAGCTTGCTCATCGCCATTGTTGTTATCATCTTCCTCTTTGGCTTTGTTGTTTCTCGCATTAACGATTTGTCTGACGTTGAGCAGAAGCACTTGCCGAGTCAAACGAGCAAAGTTACCGTACCTTGAACGGAGATCATCGACGATATCCTCCGCCGTTGTTAAATCCCTCCCGCATGAATCAATAACTTGACTGAGATATCTACGATTTATTCCTCCACCCATACCACCCCCTCCGCCGCCGCGACCGCGACCGCGACCACGACCTCTCCTCATCATCTGACTGCTTTGAGGGGGTTTCAATAGCTAAAGTCTGAGTCTTTCTTACTTTAGAGGCGTTCACCACCGACACGGCCGGAGGAGGAAGCAGCGGAGAAAGAAAACCTAATTTAGTGTCCCAAATGTGTGTAAAAAATGTTTATGAAGCGTAAAAGTAATTAACCTTTGTATGTATTATTATTCTTCTGCTCTTTTACAGTATTACATAATGCTTTGTTTTTCTAAGTATTTGGTGTACCCATGGACTCGAGAGTCTGAGCTATATTATTAAGAATTTGCTTTTCTCTACAAACTTGAAGGAGTTACACAACTGGTATATGCAGACTTTTTCTCATATGCTTTATGCTTCTCCTTCAGTTTGTTTATGTATCTGGATTTACTTGAGCTTGAACCTATTCAGCTTGTACCTTTACTTGAGTTTCTCATACACACACGAGCTTGAACCTATTCAGTATCTGGATTTACTTCGTGCCCAACTCCAATCCAACATTGTGTTTTCTCATCAATCTCGTATCTCAGAAGAGTTCCAAACAAGATCTTTCCCTGAATCCAGTGAAACACCAAGAAATATTACTTCACAAACAATGATTAAGTACCTTTTATTTATGGAAAAGATTGGTTTCAGAATGTTAAACCTTTACTCTCCTATATGAAGCTAAGGTTGTTAAGGGCTCATTGGATTTCTTCACTAGTCCAGCCTCATTACTTATGTTTATCATCTGGCACCGGTTACAACCGCCCAAAGACTGCAACAAGAGATATGAACTTCTTTTTAAAAACAGAGACCCATAAAGTTGATACATATGATTACGATCTTATGTGAATCCATGGACTTACTGTGAAATGATTGTCTCCTATCTTGACAGTTCTCCATTTATCTTCTGCGTATGGTTCACCTCCAGATATAACCAGATTTGGTCTGAATCTATATGGATTGAGTTTCTCATGAGCCCGTTTGTAGTTCTCGTCTTCTGCAACCAAATCAGTTTTTAGTAAGCAAAAACGAACAAGTTGTAAGATTAAAAGGTGATGGAAACATACTTGCTTCTATTCTCCTGTTTAGGTCAGCAACACTCTCCTCGGAGATCAACAAGAACTGAGCTTCATTAGCAAAGTTGATATTGCTTTCCAAATCTCTGCATAAACCAGGACTCTTGTTTCTGTTCAAACAGTGTTTGGAAGAAGAGCTAGAATACCGTAGCAACTTGCATTGTCGACCAATGGCATTGGTAAACCAACAATTGATTCTACTTTCCTCATTATGGTTTTCAAGTCTGCAACCAAAATCAAATTTATTACAAGCATGAAGCAGCTGATGTATGACATCACATGATACTGATCAATGCATACATGTTGGCATGTGAATCAAACTCATTGCTCCTCGGATTATATAAATCAGACTTGATTTTGATGTGCAACTTGTCTTTGCAGCGAGAAGATTCTACAGACAAGATCCCTTCCTCAAGGTCGATAAAGGTTCTTATAAGAGACATCTCAGGTACCTAGAAGCCATTCCCAATCGAATCAAACTTTTGGTGATAGAGCTGTACATAGAAAGATTTGAGTTAGAAGATGCTTTATTACCTTCTTTTGGGTAAGAATTTCGCCTGTCAGACCCTGAACCACCCATTCTCGATCATGCAGCAGTCCTTTTTATGTTTCAGAAAGAAAAAGAACACAAGTTATGCATAAATGCCAAATAGGCCCGCCCAACCACTAATACCTGCACAAACAGCAGCACCGATTTGGAGTAACCAAGCAGTTACATGAAATACCTGTTCTGCAAAGTGGCCAATGCATCACAGAAAATCCAGCACATGACTTGATCGGGTATATAGTAATTGACTTAAGGTAGTGGCTTGGAAAAGATTCTTTACTTTCAAGTTCTGCAAATCAACAAAAAGCGGAGACTCATAGAATTGAGATGCCATTTATACTTTATGAAGTATTTGCGTCTCGTGGTTTTCCAAAGATTTTACGAAGTAGCAACAAGCTACATGCACTTTATTTATGTGGCTAACACAAGCATCAACTACCAAAGATTACGGAAAGGTAAGCATGTAAACATGGCGACTTTTAATAAAGTCAATGAGTGGTAGAATCAATTATACAAGGTCCCTTATATGTCAACGTGAGTGAATAATGTTCCAAGAGAGTTAAATAACAACCGCTAGTGTTACTAAGAACAAAGCACCATAGAAGATTTCAGAAAAAGTACCTTCACTAGGAAGTTGAAGAAACCTTCCACTGACGACAATTCCATTCCCAATCTTCTTTGGAGGTGAAA